AAAGATAAGTAACCGTTATGTCTAAACCTGTAACCAGGGCCGGATGACAAGTATATATATAGCAGGAGTTCAGAGTAAAGCACGCGTGGAAGGGTCATTGTAAGAAGATTTTGTCTCGAGGCACGATCATAACTGAGTCATCAGAAGCGCTGAGTGCCAGAGTTAAGAGTCAGTTTTTCATTAAGTGGAGAGCTGTGGCTGTGTCTGTGGTGTTTAGAGTGGGGTCTTAGGAAGGCCAGTGGTAATGGCATCTGGGATGAATTGGTGGTGGGGCAAAGGCTGGAGGCTTGGAGACCATTCAGGACCTGTTCCCCTTTTCCGTGCTTTGGAAAAGTGACATAAGCCACAGGGAGCCACCACTGCTCCTGAGGCCTTGGCTTTGGTGATGATCTCAGCAAATTCCCTCTCCCTCCACATTCACACCCTAGAGGTCCTGCCCCGGTCTTGGGATTTGTGAGGGAATGGTATCAGGCCTTTGCCATCAGCCCAAACAGTTGTCCGTCCTTCCTTCCAGGTAGCTTCCTTGGTCTGGATGGTCCATTTGAATCAAAGCACCAGCTTCTCTGTCCTGCCTCCGCTCGCTCCTTAGGCCAACTCCAGGCTAATTCCTCTCTGGACCTAACTTCCCTAACCTGTACAGGTGGAAAGTTTTTTTTGATTCCACTTTTGAACACCAGAGAAGCACTGACTTCCACCCCAGGGGAAATAAAAGCCTAAACAAAGTCGTATGTGTTCTTCCCAGGGAGGCTAGGAAGTTTTTTTTTATTTATTTCTTTTTTCTTTTTTTTTTTTTTTTCCCCAACGTTTTTTTTTTTTTTTTCCCCCAACGTTTATTCACTTTTGGGACAGAGAGAGACAGAGCATGAACGGGGGAGGGGCAGAGAGAGAGGGAGACACGGAATCGGAAACAGGCTCCAGGCTCTGAGCCATCAGCCCAGAGCCCGACGCGGGGCTCGAACTCACGGACCGCGAGATCGTGACCTGGCTGAAGTCGGACACTTAACCGACTGCGCCACCCAGGCGCCCCAAGTTTTTAAAAAATTCAGTTGATTCTCTAGCCATATTATCTGTTGCTAGAGCTGCTGGGAGTGGGCAGGCGAATTTGGGAGTAGCAGTTGGAGACTTCATTTTGTTAGTGAAGGGGAAGAATTTGAAATTACAAGGGCAATTCTGGAGTGAGGAGAGAGAGCAGTGAGGTGAGGTTGGAGTGGAGTGAGGTGGGACATGGGGAGGTTCAAAATTGCCTGAAGGACAGGCTGGGGAGGAAGGCTCTGGAGGCCTGTGTGTTGGAGGAGGTGTGGTTGCTTGCCTTGCCCTTGATCATGTGGCCCATTTTGTGGCTGCTTCCAACTCCCTGTCTTCCAGTTGGCATTTAACACCCCTTGAAGTGTCTTCCGGCTTAAGGAAAGAGAACTAAAAATCTTCTCTGTTTTACATTCCAGTCTCTACTTCCTTACTTCTCATTCATTTGTCAGCTCACTAAAGTTTAAAAATCGCTCATCTTTGTTTTTAATAGCTTTATTGAGATGTAATTCACACACTATACAGTTCATCTATTTATAGTGTACGTCAGTGGTTTTCAGTATGATTATAAGGTTGTGCAGCCATCACCACTGTTAGCAACTGTTCTCTATAGTGGCTGCATCACGGTACAGTCCTGCCAGCAGTGTATGAGGGTTCTAATTTCTCTACATCCTTGCTGTCACTTATTATCTTACTTTAAATAGTTATCCCAGGGGATGTGACGTGGTGTCGAGGGATTTTGATTTGCTTTTCTCTAATGGCTCATGATGTTAGCATCTTTCTGTGTGCCATTTGTATATCTTCTTTGGAGAAGTGTCTGTTCACATCCTTTGCCCATTTTTAAATTGGATTATTCATCTTACTATTAAGTTACAAGGTTTTTTTTTTTTTTTAATTTTTTTTTCAACGTTTATTTATTTTTGGGACAGAGAGAGACAGCGCATGAACGGGGGAGGGGCAGAGAGAGAGGGAGACACAGAATCGGAAACAGGCTCCAGGCTCTGAGCCATCAGCCCAGAGCCCGACGCGGGGCTCGAACTCACGGACCGCGAGATCGTGACCTGGCTGAAGTCGGACGCTTAACCGACTGCGCCACCCAGGCGCCCCTGGGTTTTTTTTTTTTTTTAATTCTGGATATAAGTCCCTTATAAGATAATTGATTTGCAACTATTATCTCCCATTCTGTGGGTTATATTTTCACTTTCTTCATAGTGTCATTTTCAGCACAAATATTTTTGATTTTTATGAAGTCCAATTTATCTATTTTTGTGTTATTTGTACTTTTGGTGTCATGTGTACCCCAAGGTCATTGAGATTTACTCCTGTGTTTTCTTTTAAGGCTTTTAAAGTTTTAGCTCTTACATTAGGTCTATGATAGTTTTTGAATTAATTTTTGTATATGATGGAAGTTAAGGGCCCAATTTCAGTCTTTGGATATCTTGTTGTTAAGCACCATTCATTGAAGACTACTCATTCCCTGTTATATTGTCTTGGCACCCTTGTTGAAAATCATTTGAGCGTAAATATAAGGCTTTATTTCTGGATTCTCAGTTCTCTTCCATTGATCTATGCTAGAACCACACTGTCTTTATTACTCTAGTTTTGTAGTAGGTGTTGAAGTGGCAAACTGTGAGATCTCCTTTGTTCTTCTTGTTCAGAATTGTTTTGTCTATTCTGGGTCTCTTGCATTTCCTTATGAGCTTAAGATCCAGTTTGTCATTTTATGCAAAAAAGGCAGCTGAAATTTTTATCGAGATTATGTTGAATTTGTGTATCAATTTGAGGAGTATTGCTGTCCTCCATGAACATGGAATGTATTTTCACATATTAGGTCTTTAATTTCTTTCAGTAATGTTTTGCAATTTTCAGAGTACAACTTTTACAATTCGTTGGATAAATTTATCTCCCTGTATTTTATTCTTTGTTCATTATAAATGAAATTATTTTCTTAATTTTACGTTTTGATTGTTCAGCTCACAAAAATTTGGCCTTTCCCCTGACCAGTATACCAGCGTTTCACTCACTGTAGTAACCAAAGGCCTCCCTCTCTTGATTTTCTCTTTCTGAACTCCCAGTCTGACAAACCTATTTATTATAGAAGCATGCTGAACATCACTGCAGTGTAATTGGACCCACTTTTTCATTTTCTTATAAATACTCGTGCAGCGCTTGCTTGTTATTCGTGATTTTAGGCAGTTGGACAGACTGGTTTGTATGCATTGTGTGGCTCATATCTGAATCTGATATCCACGGTTCATAGTATAGGTGAATGTAGTTTTGGAGGGGGCACATGGCTTCTTTAATCACCACTTGTAAATGTTTGGTAGCCATATTCATTACCAGCAAGATGACCTCAAATTCCATTTCAAAAACATTTATCTTTTCTTCCTAATATTAGGTACATATAAACATCTTACATTTTTGGTTATTTACTCACCAACTTTTTTTTTTTTTTTGCTGAACATTTGCTGGACGGCACAATCCAGAATCACTGATAACTTGTGTAACTGTCAGGTTTGTCTTCCTTACAGTTTCACGGTGAAAGGGGAGTACTTGATTCAGTCATTTTTCCAGTTTGTTTGAGTGTAACAATTTTATTTAAGTAATTTTCCTGTAATTTTTTCTTCTTTATCATCGTGTTTTCCAATGTGTCTAGTTTGTTAGTGCCTGAAAAAATTTTAAAACCATAATTGATTTTATTGCATTTTTTAATGGTTAATTTTCTGGTTTTTTTTGTTGTTGTTTGTTTTGTTTTGTTTTTTGGAGTTAATTTTGGACTTCACAAAAAGTTGTAAATATAATACAGAGAGTTCCATATACCCTTCATGCAGCTTTATGTTATCATCTCACATAATCATAAATTCTATGGTCCAGAATGTTTATCACAACCAAGGAATTAATTTTGGTACAATACTATTAACTAAAATATATAATTTATTTGGATTTCAACAGTTTTCCTACTAATGTTCTTTTTCTGTTCCAGGGTCCAATCCAGGATCCTACATGGCATTTAGTTGTCCTGTCTCTGTTGTTTCCTCCCATCTCTTGATAGTTCCTCAGTCTTTTCTTTGATGACCGTAACAATTCTGTTGTTTTGTAGACTGTTCCTTAATTTGAGTTTTTATCTGGTGTTTTTTATGATCATATTGAGGTTACACGTTATTGGAAAGGCTACTGAAGAAGTGATAGGCCTTCTCAGAACATCACATGGGGATGTGCTACTGGTGATGTTATCCTTGATCACGGGTTAAGGTATTAACCTGTCAGAATTCTCCGCTGAACCTTACTATTTCCCCCTATGTAATTACTAAATATTTAGGACATACTGTGATGCTCTGCAGCTGTCTTGTTTCTGCTTACATTTTCACTCACTCACTCTAGCATCCATTAGTAGATCTTGCCTGCGACAGTTATTACCATTGTGTTGTAATGTGAATTTTCTGTTTTTCTCATTTCACCTACATTTATTGATTGAAATTCTTTAAGAAGGAAGTCATTTGTTGTCCATTTACATTTATTTTATCCCGTGGGTTATAATCTAATCCTGTAGTTACTTATTTTATTGCTCAAGGTATTTGACTTTTTCTGTGCTCAAGGTATGGGTTTTCTGTGACTATGTGAAGATGAAGGTAAATCTTTTGAGGCCTCAGCTACTTGGAAACTGTTCTGTTTCGCTTGACCTCTAGCAGAATGGAGAACAACCCAATTAAAACTTTCCTCCTCTGTCCTCGAATCATAATTTGCTGCTTATTTTGATGTCTTTCTCTTTTGGGATTATACTAGTGAGTCTCCCAAGTTTACTGTAGTCAAAATTGATTAATAGGAAACATGAAACACATCGCTCATGAAGTTTATTTAGGTTCCATTTTCTAAATTATAACATTTAGATTTTATATACAGTTTAAGAATTTCTTATGTTTAAATCATCAATTATTGCTATATTACAAATTAATTCACATTATAAATCTTGTTTTTAGGAAAAGAAAAAATCTGAACCCCTTCAGAGGGAAGAATCTGATGAAGTCTCCCTTCCGAAAACCTCCAGAGAGCTGGAAATTTCTGCTCCAGCTTGTGAATTCAAAGGAGACTGTCTGAAGGTGTTAACTGATTCTCAGCTCCAGAATGCTGCCAGTGGACACAACGACAGTGAAATGTTTGATGTACCACTCACCTCCTTAACTATAAGCAACGAAGGGTCCCTGACATGGAACACAGAGACCTCAAAGGAAGGGGAGGAGGTCAGAGCCTGTGTTGGGGACGATGCCGTGAAGCCGAAGGTCGACCTTGGAGACAGTGCTGGAATCAAAGTAGAAACCCCCAAGAACTTTACAGAAGCAGAGGGAAATACATTGATACAATGTGGACCTTCTGAAAGCCCCTTGCATCCTGATTTTTTTCATACTCAGCAAGAAATGGAAAATTTACAGGTCAGAGAAACTCCGAAAAAGAAAGAAGACAAACAAGCCTTGGGTCTTTCTCCAGAGGTGCTACAAAATGTTGGCTTGCAGAGTTCTTGTGAAGCCAAAGACATTTTTCAGCCACCTAGAGTGAAAAGACTGTATCCCCAGCTGCCAGCTGAAATTGCTGGAGAAGTACCAGCTTTGGTGGCAGTGAAACCCTTGTTCTGCAGCGAGCGACTGTACCCCGAGCTCCCATCTCAACCAGAACTGGTACCATTTACTAAAGAACAGCTAAAAATCTTTGAGCCTGGTTCGTGGCTGGAAAATGTTGAGTCGTATTTAGAAGAGTTTGACAGCATGGCTCATCAGGACAGGCACGAATTTTATGAGTTGCTATTGAACTACTCCCGATGTAGGAAGCAGCTGCTGCTGGCTGAAGCTGAGCTCCTTGCTCTGACGTCTGATTGCCAAAATGCGAAAAGTCGACTATGGCACTTTAAGGAGGAACAGTTGTCTGTGCAGGTATTTTGACTATTTCAGGAGCCTGGGGGATTTGCAGTGGAGGTGCTCTCCTCGTGAGGCCATCCAGGTCTGGAGTATGCTTATACTAACGCTTGACCCTGACCTAGCCCAGAGTAGTACAGTGGAGGAGTCACAAAGTCAGATGCCTGCAGGGGCCAAGCAGGTGACCTAGAGAAGTGAAGTGGGCTGAGCGGGATGGTGGTCACTGGGCTCATGCCCAGTGGTCTGGGCTCATGCCTGGCCCAGCAGGGGCAGCTGCTCTTAAGTCCTCGCTGATTGTTGCTTTGAGGCTGTGTGGTCCCACATTGCCACGTCTTTTCAGTTCCTAAGAAGAGCTGGAAATCCGGATTTTTACGGGAGGGATCCTGAAATGTAAAGGTTGGCAACAAAATACAGAGTAGAGGACAAGCAAGTCATGTCTCCAGGTCAGATCCAGCTTGTGGACCATTTACTTTGTAATCTTGGGCATAATGCCAGGAACATCCAGTAGGTGGAGAGTGTCAAGGAGAGCATGATCCATGGGGTAAGCTTGAGACGTGATGAGGAAACAGGGAAGGCAATCAGATGTGGCTGTATGGAGGCCAAGGTGGCCATTAGGAAAGCCATTCCATAGTGGCCTGGGAAGGATGGCAAGGAAGAGAAAGGCGCTCTTGACAAGTTTGGCAGTGAAGGGAAGCCGGAGATACCAAGGAGAAATATGTGCTTTTCCCCCGTCCTTAATCCTTATTTATTGGGAGACTCGTGTATCTCTCTTTGTAGATAGAAAGGAGTCTGTGGAGAGGGGAACATTTGATTATACTAAAAAGGAGGATAGAATCAAGAACACAGCTGAAGGTGTTAGTATTGGGGTGTTAGTATTGAAAAGGAGAGGAATTTCTTTTGAGCAGAGGGTAGATACAGAGATATTTTGAAGTCCCTTGAAGTTGTGGAGATCTCACATTATCTTCAGTGTTTGCAAAGTAGAAGGTAAGATTATCAATCATGAGAGTCTTAGGGGCAAGTTTTATTATTTTTTTCTGAGGGTTTGTTTTTCCTTCTTTGACCTTGTGATGCTTTACAATTGGCATTATACTTCTCGGCACCTGATTATATATTTGATTTATTCTTGTCTATGTGGCGGTACTGTCCCCTCACCATGATTTATAAGCTCTTTGAAGATGGTACTGAGTCAACGCATCATATGCCTGCAGCCTGATTATTTCAAGTGCAAAGAGTTAACTGGTTTCCTGTTTTCCCCTTTTGTCCACCGCTAGGGTATCTGTGCAGATCAAGTGAAAGTTTCTGGCTATCATCGCTACCAAAGAGTAGAGATGAATGAAAATGCACTGGGGGAGCTAAAGAAGCTATTTGATGCCAAATCTGAGCACCTCCACCAGACCCTCGCTCTGCATTCGTATACCTCTGTGCTCTCAAAGTTGCAAGTGGAGTCTTACATTTATGCCTTACTCAATAGTTCAGCTGTTCTGAGATCTTTAGCAGTTCAAGGCCGAGGTAGGTGAATAATCAAAGTCTCACTCTTTCTTGTGATCTGCAAGGAAAAAAAGAATTGAGGGGTTGGTTGAATTGTGCCCTAATTGGTATTAGAAGGGAACATTTGTGCTGTTTTACCTTGTCTTTCCCAAAGCAGGTTGGAGATCTGCCTTAGTAACATTTCTTGGGAGCTATGCCAGGTCTCCCTTCCCTGGGGCTGTCAGTCTGTGCTTCTCTGGGAAGCCAGAGAGCTTGCTTTTTATCATTAATGCCCCTTACTGTCCTATTTATGTGCTTCTTAACCAAGTCAAATTCAAATGCAGTTTTTGATTGTAAAACTGATACTCAGCATACTTTTTCATCCTCTGTCTGTTGTACTTTATTTTTGCTTGTCTGGTTTGTTGGGCTGTTTTATATAACTTTTTTCGGAGGATCTATAATGTTCTGCATTTTTCATCATATTTGGGTTTTACAAGACTAGCTTTGATTGTGTCATGTATTAAGTATGAATTAGCTAATTGAATTATGCAATTTTTATTTCTAGGGGAGATATTAGGAATATTTAAAGTAAAATAAATCCTTCCCCCTCATTGATTTCATAACTAATCTAAGAGCTGGGGTTAGACCAGAGGTCTGCTGCTTTTTAAATAAAAAATAGATTTTGATGAAGTTGGTTTTCCCTTTGTAATACTTCACAACATTAAATACAGTTTTGGATTACATATTTAGTAGAGAGAGTTAAAAAAATTTTTTTTAACATTTATTTATTTTTGAGAGACAGAGAGAGACAGAGCATGAGCAGGGGAGGGGCAGAGAGAAAAGGATACACAGAATCCGAAGCAGTCTCCAGGCTCTGAGCAAGCTGTCAGCACAGAGCCTGATGCGGGGCTTGAACCCATGAACCATGAGATTATGACCTGAGCTGAAGTTAGATACTCAACCAACTGAGCCACATAGGCACCCCGAAATTCAGATTTTTAAAGAAGTTTCATTTATTTAAGTGATCTTTGCACCTAGCGTGGGGCTCAAACTCACAAACCCAAAATCATGAGTCACATACTCTTCTGACTGAGCCAACCAAGTGTCCCAAAATTCAGATATATATATGTATATATATGTTTTTTAATTTTTTTTAAAGTTTATTTATTATTTATTTTGAAAGAGACAGAGCACAGGCAGGGGAGGGGCAGAGAAAGAGGGGGACAGATATCTGAAACGGGTTCTGTGCTGACAGCAGGGCCCGACGTGGGGCTTGAAGTCACAAACGTGAAATCGTGACCTGAGCCGAAGTCAGACGCTTAACCACCTGAGCCACCCACGTGCCCCAAATTGAGATATTTCTGATGCAGTTTTTTCTCCTTTGGATTTTTATCTGAACTAAATATTTTGAGAAGTTATTTATTTATTTATTTATTTATTTATTTATTTATTGAGACACTAAAAATTCTCCCCAAAGCACCACTTATATGGGGCTCATTTAATCCTCTTTTTAATTTATAGCTGGTAAACAGACTGAAAGCTTTCCCTCTGATCTGTGTCAACTAAAGGAGTGCATTAGTGTCTTATTCATGTTCACCAGGAGGGTTAATGAAGATACTCAGTTCCATGACGATATTCTTCTCTGGCTGCAGAGATTGGTAAGGAAACAGATAATTGAAGAATTATCTCTTATTATAGTTCTTTTTTTCAACAGCTTCTTCAGCTAATTCATTTAATATGTTAATTAGTGACATTTTCTTTGTTCATGACACATGGAAATAAGTTATACTTACCTAGTGTGTTATTAAGCACAAAGTGTTTTTTCTTTCTAATAAAGTTTAAGCTAAATAATCTTGGGGCTTCATCCTTGGGAAGAAATGGAAATGTGGGAAGCATGGTAAAGCAAAGATTAGGTACGTAGTTAATATAGGCCGCCGCTCTGAAAACTTCCATGTCATTTAGTTTTATCATCTTATGTTTGATGTTTCGTTAAAAGATTAAGAGAAAAAAGACAGGTGTCAGGATTTGGGAAACTTAAGAAAGATGTTAAGTGTAGTAGCGAAGGAAGCTTCTTTGTTTAGTGGTTTTCAGTGGGGCCGCCTTGGGTGTTTTTTTAATTTTCATGCTAGAGTTCTTACATATGTGGTAAGATCCCAAGCATACTTACTTGGATTTGAGAATCTGTTACAAACTGAGACTACATTAAACTACTTGGCTTGTATCTATTCATATGTGGCCAGGAACATCGGGAATTTGTCTTTTGTCAGATAATAAAAATTGGGTTGCAGGAAAATACTTACGATATTTTGATCATAGTACTCATGCGTTCATAGGCCTCTGTGTGTCTCTGTGGTAGAAAGTCACCTGTTCATAGTGTATCTTTAGGTATGTACTACATGTATGCTATATGGGTATATATGTGTGTAGTAGATCTCTGGTTATTCTTCTGAAAGATTCATGTATTTCAACATTGGCTAAGTGACTTACTAGACCCTTAGGTACATTTTTCTTCTTAAATAGTGAAACTCTATGTTCTTTCCTGTTCAGGTATCAGTGTTACAAAGAGTTGGCTGTCCTGGAGATCACTTCTTCCTTTTAAACCATATTCTTCGATGCCCGGCAGGTGTTAGTAAATGGGCTGTTCCTTTCATCCAGGTATGATGAATGGTTGTCTAATTTTGAGTGGGATGAGAGAGATTTTGTTAAACATTTTTTCCTGAAGAAATTGCTTTTTTTCCCTTAAGAAAGCTATTTAAAAATATTAATATTTAAAATAAAAATTTAAAAATACATCTATATATATATTCGTATATTCATAGGAGTTTTTATGCTGAAACTTCTTGAGCCACCCTAATTGATGAAATTAAGATAGAATTATAAGAGTTCCCTTGTAGTCTGGCTTGGTAGGTTCAGTAGTAGTTAATTTTGTAAAATTTCTGTGCAGGAAGGCTCACTAGGACTTTTTTGGTAATACTCAACACAGCTTTGTAAATTAATCCATCTCAGTTGGTACAGACGAGGCAGACACCTTGAGCATCTCAGTTCTTTAATACTAGCAGAGATCCGCATCTGTGTGATGATCAACTCTCAAATAATCACCTTCAGTGTTGACTACGTGGTTCATGGTTTCCCCTCTCTGTTGCTTGCCTTTGGGTTGTTCTGTTACTCACAGCAACCACTCAGATGGGTAGAAGCCAAGTGCATGCCAAGTTCAACTTCTCCACATTACCTTTTCTTCAGTATTTCTGGTGGTGAGAAGTTTGAATCGTTTTGGGTAGAAGGAAGATTTTTTTGTTTTGTTCTCTCTTTGGATTAAAACAGCAGCATTGTCCTGCATCCTGTCTGGTTACAGTGGTCGAAGGACAGTGCTTAGCGAGCGCTGCTCTTGGAGGACAGCGGACTTCAGTACTGCCAGGTAGCCCGCCAGCTGCGCCCTGCTCTTGTGGATTCGGCGCTAGTCCATCTTTGTTTTCATAACCGCTCCCTTTGTCAGGATGCTGGTGAACTAAGAACGTGGATACTTGGGTTGTTGGTTTTCTACAGTATGCTTTTTCCTTTTCTGATTTCAGATCAAAGTGTTGAATAACCCGTCAGGGGTCTTTCATTTTATGCAGTCCCTTGCTCTGCTAATGTCGCCTGTCAAGTAAGTGTGGAAGAGCTTTATGAAGTAGAAATTGAAATGCTTCTTTCTACCAAAGGATTGGCTTCCTAAACTGCTCAGATCCAAAGAACTGCTAAGGGAAGAGTCAGCATTCCAGAATTTAATATTGTGGATTTTCTTTGGGTTGGATACCCTTTGTCCCCAGGTGACCTTATTAACTGCTTATGTATAAACAATTAAGCTTTTCTGGATGCCCCTTTTTAGTGGGTTTGCCTCTCCTATCATATATGTCATTGTGAAAGGTGCCGTGGGGAGATCGGAAAAATCATCTTTTCCTTAGAAGAAGACATTTAGAGTCAGAGAGGGAAAAGCACAAATTGCCAAGCTGCGATTGGCACACTAGCACTGAAGAGGCTGAAGAGAGGAGGGTGGAGCCATGGAAGAAGGTTCTAGGTGCATGAGCTGGATTGCAAGAATGGGGCGGATCTCAGCAGGAGTGAAGGCAGTGCTCTGAGGGGCAACAGGCAGTGGCCCCAAGCACAGGTGCAGATGGCTGTGCAGAGGACAGGCAGGAGATCAGTGTGGCTGGAGTGAAGGACTATGTGGGGGATGGTCAGACAGATGAACAAGCACGGTGACTTGGATTATCGAAAGGTTTGACATTAAGACAGAGGAATCTAGAATTGATATGGTCTGGGCCTGGCAGCAGTTGAGGACTTTTGAACAAAGGTAAAAGTCGTATCAAGGAAGGTTAGGATTGACTGAAGGCAGAAGAAGATGTGCTTCTGCTTAACTGAATTACAGGTGCAGACTTTTGGCTCTCTTGGCTCTGGATCCTAACTCACCATCCGGAGGACACTTAACTGGGGAGAAAGGCACAGTCTGTCTAGGTGACCTTGAACAATGTTACTACCACTTGCACTCAGTCCTAGAAAGCCCGTCTGCCTCAGAGCCTGAGGTGGGATCATGGTGGTGGGAAAAAGAAGGAGGGGTACCTAAGGTCATGTTCCCAGAAAGGGATTAAGTAGCTGGCTAAATAAGGAAATGGTGGGAAAGGGGTGGTTCTGACATAACCCTGTAGATGTCTGAGCCTGACTGACTGTGAGGGCACTGGTGCTGATAGACCCAAAAGACAAAGGAGAGCCGTTTTATAAGGAGAAATGTCTGAGGTCATTGGGGGCCTACAAGTGACAGATACCAGTGGACATTTGGGGCTTCAGGACTGGAGCTCCTCAGGTTGCAAGGGCAGCAGTGGACCTATAGAGCTGGAAGTCATGGGAGAAAGTTTCTGTAACAGGAGGGAATGGATGAATTTTTCAGGGTCAGGCCAGAGGGGAAGGAACAGGGGGCTGAGAACCGTGTTGTGGTCCAAGAGGAGAAACTTCTCTAGTTATACCTGCTCCTCAGATCTAGCCAACACCTTGTGAAGTCTGGCTGGCAGGAATTCTCTCCAGTTCTCTCTGCCTGGGTACAGGGGGGCTTCTGCAACCTGTGGTAGATACGATTTTGACTTAATGTTTTTGCGTTAGATGTACTCTTTTGCCCTATACAAGCTTCTGAGTTACCTGCAGATTGTCCTTTTTTTATTCAGTAAAGCATGGTTCCTAAAATCGTGTACCTGGCAACACTTGGCAGGCCTGGCTCGAGTTAAGGTACCGCCACGGTCCGTACGTGTCAAGGTCCCAGGGAGTGTGGGGGCTGTGCCGGCATAACCGCACTCCTGCAGTGACTCGTCATGACTAATTCAGAGTGGTGGAGGTCTCTACCCCCAATTTGTAAGCTTTTAGCTTCCCTGAGTTTTAGCCAGTTCTTATTTCTTGTTACTACTTTAAGCCATTTGAAGACTGGATGGATGGCTGACTCTTCTCTAGGGTGAGTAGATGATCCAGAGTGTGTGCATGTGGGCTTTCTGCGTTTATGTGATGGCTTGATTTCCCTTGTCCTTTAGAAATCGAGCAGAGTTCCTATGCCACATGAAGCCCAGTGAGCCAAAGCCATCCTCCTCGGGGCCTGCGTCTGGGACCTGGACACTAGTAGATGAGGGAGGAGAAGAGGTAATTTGTCATGTCTGCCTTATTTTGGTTAATCATTTTTAAGCTTCTCTTATGTGCCATGCATTGTTTCAAGCACTTTTCACATAGCATCTCATTGACTTCTCCCAGTAGCCACAGGAGGCAGGTACTGATGGGATCCCCACTTTACAGATGAGAAAACTGAGGCGCAGGGGGTGAAGGATTTTTCCCAGATCATAAGGTCATTAAATGGTGGCGCCTCTAGAGCCTGTGTTCTGAACCAGTGTGCTGTGTTGACGCCTGTGTGTAGAATATCTTCCTCTTCAGCTGGGAGAATTTGGAACCTGGGAATATTTTCATACTCTATAAAATTTGCATTAGGATTTTCTTTTATGTAGTGACAAGTTTCTGGACTGGGAGCCGGGGCTTACCTAGGTTCTTCCTTTAACTGTTACGAATACTTCTCATCCAGATCTTCTCATTTGAAAAGTAGAACATAGTTCTTTATTCGTGATGAGGATTGAATGATCAAAATCTAGTTTCTCAAGATAATACTTGTTGATTTTTCTTTCTGCTGTATACAGGGTTAGTGTATTTGTAAGGGGTTCTCCCTCCAGCTAGTTATCAGCCCTAGCGCTTTTTTATGGTCCACATCCTGATTTGATGTGCTGTCCAGGATGGCCAGGGACCAGATGTACTGAGACTCCTGCTTTTTAAAAGGAGTTGACAGATCACAACAGACAGTTCTCAGAATGACAGCCATGGCAGGTGTGGGGATCATGTCTGTATTTACCCAAGTGCTCATTCAGGAATGGGAAGCCCCTTCACACTCTTCTTACTCTTTAGACATCTTTGCTAGAGACTGAACAGTCACCTTGGAGAGAGTCTCTCAGGAGCTGGTGCAAATCGGTCTTTTAAAGATTGTGGTGGAACTGTTTTTTTTCCCCCAAGAGTGTTCTCCCCTGAGAGAGAAGTCTTTTCTGTGGTAGGTTTCCTGCATTTACTCCCAGAAACAGATAATGATTGAGGACCCTGCAGTGGTACCTGGCTGCTGGTTAGCACTCACTGATTGTTGAGTGAATTCCAGAACTGGGGGAGTAGATGAGAGGGTTGAGAGTGCTGTTGGCTCTATAAAGGCTGTGGGGAGGAAGGCATGCCAGATCCGCCACATCAGTGGTTGGTTGACGCTGGCTGCCTATTGCAGCTGCCTTGGCAACTTAAAACTCTTGCCCAGGCCCCTGGCCAGACATCCAAGTGCTTCAAGGCCTCCTTGGTGATTCTAAAATACAGCCAGAGCTGAGAGCTACTGCTAGTAGAGCTGACGCTTGCTTGTTAGCCATTTAGGACCTAAAATGGAGGGGGAAATGAGTGGCTTGGGAAATTACGAATGAATCACATTAGTCCCTTGCTGAAGTTGAGTGAGAATCCTCAGGATCTCTGCATTTTTCATAGCGTTCCCTTTTGAGTGTAGCATGTCTTAGGACACAGATCAGCTTGATTTCTAAGTGACTTTCGTGCCGCGTGTCAAACAAGAACCTCAAAGGCTTCGCCTGTGGAATCGCTACATATGACCTGTTATTCTCTCCTGCTCTGGCAGCACCACCTGACAACGGAGCCTCAGTTATCTATGGCAGATACAGAAATTGCTTCGCTATAAGGCAGTTAAGTACTACAGTAGGCCTTGATTTGGGGGCAGGAGACCTGTAGCTAAAATAACTGGGACTCAGTATGTGGCTCTTTAATTGATGTTGTCAAAGCAGTGAGCTTTATAGTAAGATTCTCTACTCTAGAAGAACTTTTTTTGTTTAAATCTTCTTTGGGACGGAGATTTCGTGAGAGCAGTTTCGGCCGCTGAAGGACGGACGTGACCCAGATGCACATAAAATTGTGCTTGCAATTTCGGGGGGTTTACAGCCCATCTGTGGAACTGATGCTGGGAGGGGAAGTCCATGAAGACACATGGTCCATGATGTACCACTCATGCCTGTGATGATTTAGCTCCTGTTGACTCTAGAGCACGGTGCGTTCTCATCAAATCAGCTGACGTGATTGTGCATCTTTTCCCTTAGGATGAAGACCCTGAGACCAGTTGGCTGCTTCTTAATGAAGATGACTTGGTTATCCTTTTATCACAGTTTCCATTTCATGAGCTCTTTCAACATCTTCTTGGGTTTAAAGCAAAAGGTAGACTGATTTCTTTTGTCCTGTGTAAAATGTGGTTCCTGATTCAGGTTCCCCTGTGCCTGGCCATACTGAACAGAGTTGGTTGCATCAGACCTCAGTGAGATTTCCTTCCTTTCTCTGGTGCTTGTGATTTCCCACTTAGTGCTGAAACGTAGAGAGGTCACCTAGCTTGCACATTGCCCAACTTTCATAAATTGTTTTCATTTTGCACTTTGTCCCAGGTTTCCCATCTCCTGTTCACAGAGGAGCCAGAGCAACGGAGATTGTTATTTTTTCTGCCTTGGCTTAGTTTCCTCATTGAGGTATTTACAGTCGTATCCTGCAGTGTTTTTTCATAGCATTTATAATTTTTTCCTTTTCTCTGATTAACTTCTAGGTGATTATTTACCTGAAACAACAAGACCTCAAGAGATGATGAAAATGTTTGCGTTTGTTAACTCACTAGTGGAGCTTCTGGCTGTGGGGTTAGAAACGTTCAATAGAGCGCGCTATAGGCAGTTTGTGAAGCGGATTGGTTACATGATCAGGTAATACTGCCGTCGGTACATCTGTTTCTATTTGCTTTCGCCTTAGTCAGATGTAGATACTGTGAAATTGGGATGATGGACGTTTTCGTGTACGCTTCACATCTGACTGATCGTAAAAGTAAGAATTTTTTTTTCACCACCTAGCAGGTGGGAATTCTGTAAATGCTTCCAGTCAGGATATTTGGTTAATTAACTCAGATTTAACTGGTTTGCTAGGTAATTGTCCTTAGAGTCAAGATCCTCAAAGCAGTTGCTGGGTTGAACGTGGCCAGAGAAACTGAACTTGGTCAAGGAAGATGAAGCCTCTTTCCTTTTCCTTCGCTCCCTCTTTTCCTTCTACCTCCCAGCCTTTGCCTGGGAATTGCCACCTAGCGGTAGAAGATTGGCAGCAGCTCTTTTGTGTCATTGTTTCCCTGTTTTCTCTTGTATTTATTCTTATTCTGATTTTGTGTTAAATACCATTTAAAGAAAGTTGCAAAGACTTCATCAGCGGCCACTATATTTGAACTAGGGAAAGCATTATTTATTTGATTGAAAAATGAGTTTATGCTTTTATTATCAAGTACCAATAAATTTTGACAATATGTACTGCTTTTCATTGAATTAATTTTGTATCCTCTTTTCTGCATCATTAGTTTTTCTGTATTTACTGGGTCATTCCCGATAGCATATAAATATGCTGTTATTTCTTCCAACCACCCTTCTCTCCAAAAAAACCCTCTAAAACTTCTCCCCCTCTTCGGCTTTGTTTCCAAAACAAAATAGATTGTAATTAATTTATTTTAGATGTGTATCCATCTGCCTTGTAAAGCCAGGTAAATGATTATAGGATGCCCTGAAAGGCTGGAGGGTGCCTTTAAGGGCTTGAGAAAGATGATGGACATGAGATGGTGGGAAGAGGGATGGCTGGTGACTTAGAGAGTAATTTCTTAAAAGCTAAAAGCCTATCTACTTATTGTCAGAAGTCCAGACATTTATTTGCTTATTCTGCTTGGTGTAAATAAGGTAAAATCTGTCCTTGGACTCGTATACATGATGTAGGATTGAGTGCTCGTTATGTGCTGGGAATATACCTCCTCATTTTATTTTCTCAATAACTCTATAGGAGAGGCATTGTTATTATTGCTTTAAAGTCAGTATTCCCTCTTTATATTGTTTCTATGTAAATACTTACAGCTGATTATTGTAGCATATTATGACTATTCTTTCTTTGTTTTCCATCTGCTTACTTTTCTTTGTATCTATCACAGATTCTTCTCACATCTTCCAGCTGTAGCATACTTTCTACAAGGTCCCTTTCTTCAGGTCATCTGTTGGTTCCAGGTTTTTCCCTCCATGCTTGCCTGAATGCTCCACAATCAGGCTTCCCCCCAGTACTACCCAAACAGCTCTTAGGAGTGACGGTTGCTATTGAACTTTGTTGTACTGATCCGGTGACCGATTCTGAGTCTTCCTCCTCCTTTACATCTTTCACATAGTTTACATGGCTTTCTCAGAGTTGCTCACTTTCTCCTTAAGACACTTTCTTTGCTTGGTTTCCAGGATCCCACATTCTCCTGGTTTCTCCTCCATTTTACCTGGCTGCTCATTTTCTGACTCTGGTCGTTTTCATCCTCACGTCCCAAACTTCTTGATGTTGGCGTGCCTCAGGGCTCATTTCTGGACCTCTTCTCTCCCATCTAAACTTGCTCCTGGGACCTCATCTGTTCTCATGTCTTTAAATACCACCTAAATACTGTTAGGATTGTCAGAGTTCTATTTCCAGCCCATGCCTCTCTCTTAACTCTTAAGCTTGTAAGTCCAGCTGCCAAGTCAGCACCTCTCCTTGGGTGACTCATGAACATTGTAGTTTAATACACCCAATGGGCCTCCCTCTTCCCGCCTCCCACGCTGCTTCTCCGTGGCCTTCCCAGTTTCGGTAAGTGGCAGCTTCATTCTTCTGGTCGCTCTGGCCAGAACATTTGGTGTTATCCCTGACCTTTCACACCCCACATCCAGTCTAATGGCCAGTTCTGTCTACCTTCAAAACACCATCTGCCATCAAATCTAAGATGCCACCAATTCTGAAGATGCATTTATGTGTCTCTAAGAAAGAAAAAGTGTTACCAAAATATGGCATGTTAGCAATTTAATATACATTCCAATCGCAGGGATTGTGTGAAAGTGTGAAATGTTCATCCTCTTGAACCAATGAAACATGCTATTTCCAGAATCCAGCCGGAATTCTCACCTTCATTGCTACGACTCTAGTTCATTCTTAGGTATTTCTCCCTAATTGTAATTGTCATAGCCTCCTGACTTACCTTCCTGCTTTGCCTTGCTCTCCCCCCAGCTTATTCTCACAACAACCAGTGTTCCTGGTAAATGGTGAGTCAGTTCATGTCACTCCTTTGCTCCCAGCCCTGTTCAGAGTAAAAGCCAGAGTCCTCACAGTGACCTCCAGCAGCCTTCATGGTCTGGTTTCCTGTCACTTTTCTCATTTCCTCTCCAGCCAGTCTCCCTCTCACTTACCTTGCTTTTGCACACTGGCTGCCTTACTGTTCCTCCAACATGCTGACCACATCTTGGAACCTTCATTGCTGTATCTTCTTCTTTTTTATTTAAAAAAAATTTTTTTTAATGTTTATTTTTGAGCGAGAGATTGAGAATGAGCGGGGCGGGGGTGGGGATCATGGGGCAGGCAGAGACAGAGGGAGACACGGAATCCGAAGCAGGCTCCAGGCTCCGATCTGTCAGCACAGAGCCCGACGCAGGGCTCGAACTCACGAGCTGTGAGATCATGACCTGAGCCAAAGTTGGATGCTTAACCGAATGAGCCACCCAGGCGCCCCTGGTGTTTTTTCTTCTACCTGGGGATGCTCTTCCCTTAGATATCCCTGTGACTTCTTCCAATGTTTACTCACGTGTTCCTCTTCAGTAAGGCCTTTCCTGCTCCCAACCAACCCCCTTAATCTGGCCAACTCCAGAGAAACATTATTCCTCTCTCCTACGTATTTTTCTCAGTGTCACTGATAACTATGTGACAGACTATATTTCTCACTTTATTTTGTTTGTTGTCTGTTTGTCCTCCCATTAAATGTAAGCCTCATGATGGCAGTGTTTGTGCCCCATTGAATTCTTTTCAGAACTTAGAAGATAGTAGGTGTTCAGTAAATATATATGAATAAATTTGTGTTTCAAATGTAATATAAAGGTGTCAGGATTGAGTGCATTAACAAGAAGTGCCATATTGCCTGTCTTCACACTTAGGATGACCCTTGGTTATGTGAGTGACCATTGGGCACAGTTTGTGAGTCACAACCAAGGCTTGGGTTTGGCCCAGCAGCCCTACTCTGTGGAGAAACTACAGGTTGAATTTGATGAGCTGTTTTTGAGAGCTGTCCTCCATGTGCTGAAAGCCAAAAGGTAAGGAGTATGATGGTAACTGTGGAGAAATGGCTCTCTGACTAGTGAGAAAGATTGGCGTGAAAGTCATCGACTGTAGTAGATGTCTTATTTTTTAATGTTTTTTTTTTTTTTACATTTATTTATTTTTGAGAAACAGAGTGAGAGAAAGCGTGAGCAGGAGAGGGGCAGAGAGAGAAGGAGATGTAGAATCCGAAGCAGGCTCCAGGCTTTGAGCAAGCGGTCAGCACAGAGCCTGATGTGGGGCTCGAACCCATGAACTGTGAGATCATGACCTGAGCTGAAGTTGGGCGCTCAACCAACTGAGCCACCCAGGCGCCCTTGTAGTAGATGTCTTATATAATGTCGAGGTGTATTTCATCTGCTTCTTATCTTGGGCAAATTCATGGGCTTTAGTGTCCTTATTTATAGTGGTGACTGAAATGCCCTTTCTTTAATGTTTCTTTCAATCTTAAAATAACCCAATTGTGATATCTCAGTTTTGCCACCCCTGAACTTTTGGGGTAGCCTAGAACAAGGTATGAATTCTGTTTCACACCCACTCAGTGCCTGAGTGAGGCAGAGTAGTGCACAGTGCAAATGATTTGCCAGTTTTATTGTTTCAGTTGTCCTACTTACTCTGAGGGTTTCAGGGTCTAGGATTCTTATGGGTCCTGGTCCCCTGTCCTGTCTGTGTAAATGCCGGCTTCTGATCATGTTGTCTTCTATTGCTGCTTATAGCCCGGGTTACATTTGAGGGTACCTCCTGCACTGTCTTCCCTGAGCTTCTGGCCAAGGGTAGGAGCGAGTTCTGCTAACAGCCCTGTGCCCTCTGCTAGGAGAGGTTTGCTGGCCTCCACCTTCACTCAGTTAACTGCCAGCTCTTCCCCACCTTTGCCTTCTTCTGAGCTATGCTCCCTCTTGCCATGGGTCTCATAGCTTCACCCCGTATTTATTGCGTGTTGTGGAGGGGGTTTGAGTCTTGGCTATTTACTGTCACCTTGGGCAAGTCACCTAGTGTTCGTGTCCTCACTTTCTTCATTTGTAAAATGGAGAGGATGATGCTACCTGTTGTGTTGACCTCATGGACATGTTACCAGGATGAAATGCAGTAATGTATGGAAATACTTTGTAAACCCTGAAGGACTTTTTAGGTGGTAAGTGGTGGTGGTTCTTTTGTGGTTTTAGATGAAGAATAGGATAAGTGCTCGCTTAGAGAAATATCAGAATTCCTTGACTAAGTCTTAAGCACTTGTAGGCACTCAGAAGGCATGGATCTAAGATAAATAGAATTTGGGCTTAGAAATTTATCTTTAGGTTATTCGTCATACATTCTGTGTTATCCATAAATTCGCTTGTCTCATGAGGTACACCAGATCCTGTGCAGAACCCGGCCGGGGGATCAGGAATAGCCTACCATCTCTGCTCTCATCACTTATCCTTGCACCTGCTTAGCTGAGATGGAAAGTTCTCGCCATAGCTACTAGCTCTTAGATTTTGAGCTGTGAACTGTCCTCTAGTATTATATCTGTAATTCACAAAGATGATAATCATTTTAAACTTTAAAATATCAAGAACTGTTACTCTTGAGTATAATTTATTTTAGGAAAGAAATTATACGAGAATCAGATATTTAAAGCCATGATACTTAAATTTATTTGGCACTCCAATAGAAATTTCTGATGTGGTTATCCCCGAAAACAAACCCAAAAGATAGCCAAAGCCTAAGCCACTTACTGCATATCTGCCATGTGGGCAATTTTGTAGCCTGAAATACAGAGTTCTGTGATGACTTTTTTTTTTTAATTTTTTTTTTAATGTTTATTTAATTTTGAGAGAGAGAGGGAGACAGAGCGTGAGCAGGAGAGGGGCAGAAAGAGAGAGGAAGACACAGAATCCGAAGCAGGCTCTGGGCCCCAAGCTGTCAGCACAGAGCCCGACATGGGGCTCGAACCCACGAACCGTGAAATCATGACCTGAGCTGAAGTCGGATGCTTTGCCAGCTGAGCCACCCAGGCGCCCCCTGTGATGACTTTTAAGGCCTCTGCAGTTTTCTCTCATTGTTTTGGGATAAGTTATACAAGAGTGTCAGGTCCTGTGTGAGGTGTTAGAACATTATTTAATTTTTTTTTTAATGTTTATTATTTTTTAGAGAGAGAGAGAGAGACAGAGACAGAGACAAAGAACAAGCAGGGGAGGGGCAGAGAGAGAGGGAGACACAGAATCGGAAGCAGACTCCAGGCTCTGAGCTGCCAGCACAGAGCCTGATGTGGGGCTCGAACTCAGAGACTGAGAGATCATGACCTGAGCTGAAGTCGGCCGCTTAACTGACTGAGCCACCCAGGCGCCCCTCAGATAATTATATAATAAGACAGAAGCTTGGCTCACCTGAAGTTACGGTTTCTTCAACCTTTGCTCAAGAGTCTAGCTGTTGCTTTTCAAATCTAGGTCAGTAGTGGTTTGGGTATAGATGTGGGTCAGGCATGCACTATTTAATACCTTTTTCTTGTTCTCTTAATAAGCCTTGTTTGTAATTGGACAATTTGTAGTTTTGCCCAAAATAAAGCAACCGTTTTGAGTGCCTCCCTGTTTTTTCCAAGATTTTTTTGATATAAAATTCACACCACAAAGTTTTAATAGCATTTAAAGGTGCTATTGAGTGCTGATTGTTTTCAAGATACTGGCTTAGGTAGTGGATAATTAAAATACAAGACTCTAGGTTACATGGTGGTTTATTCAAAGATGAACAAAACCTGGTTTCTGCTTTCAAATTGTCATGGTTTGTATGTGTACGTAAATTACAGTAACTTGAGGCATTTCTCGCTGTGTGGTTTGAGGAGCACTTGAGTCTGAGTCACCTGCGGTGACTATAGAATGTGCAAATTCTTGGGCCCCAACTGTGATCTACAAAATCAGGATCCTATAGGCAGGCCTTGAAATCTGCATTTTCCACTTTGTGGCTTTTTCTGCCCACTCCAGTGTGAGAGCCACTGATAAAGGGTATGATGTTGCCAAAGTCAGGTGTGGACCAAATTCTGTGATAGTGCTGAGGAGGAAATCAGAGGAGGGCTTCACAAATGGATTGGTGGCTGCTTGCAGGTAATAGGTTCTTGCCAGGCTTGTCCAGGAATGGTCTGAACACAGCGAGGGCTCTGGTTAGAAACATGGGTCTGAGCTGTAAGTGCAGGCCTTTGAATGTGGGGCTTGAAGGGTTTGAATTTCATTCAGTGATGACTGGGGAGTCACCGGAGGGCTTTTGGTTCTCCTCCCACCCATGGCACACGTGTCTGTGTGTACACACATACCTGTACTTAAGCTCACACACATACATCCACATCTAAGCAACCTGTCACCTAGGTCTTAATAAGATCTTTGGTTTAAAACACAGCTCTGCCTCTTACCACCCCTTCTGTGCCTTGGTAGCCTTATGTGTAAATTGGGGATAGTGTCAGTGATAGTTCTTGCCCGGGTCTTGTGAGGATGGAATGAGATGATATAGGGTGATTAGAACAGTACCTGGCACAGAGTAAGTGCTTTGTGAGCATTGCTGTCATTGCTGTCCATCCTTGAGGTGTGGGTGACCGAAGCATGTTAGCGAGATTGCTGTGCTGTGATTTAAGAATTTGTTTTTTCTACCAGAGCAGCTCTGCCTGCTTTCTCAGTGTGGTGAGGTTGACTGATGGACGAAATTATTCCTACTCTTTAAAATGCAGACTTGGCATTTGGCTGTTTATGTCAGAGATGCCCTTTGGGACGCTGTCCGTCCAGATGCTCTGGAAGCTCTTCTACCTCATGCACCAGGTGGAGAGTGGGAATCTGGAGAAGCTCTGCATCAGTCTCCCGCCTGCAGAGTGCAAGAGGCAGCTCCAAGGTACGGCCGGGCCACAGCAGGCAGCGGAGGTCTTTCCTACCTGTGTGCCTTTCTCGTCGTGGCTTTATTCTTTTTATCTTGTAGAAGGACTAAGAGTATTTTACTCTGTGTAGTCATAAGTAAAAATTTTGAAATTTGAAAGATGGCTGTATTGTTTTGACATAGTAGAATGGTAATTCCAATTTTCATTATTCTTGAAATGCTCTGGGTGGTAACTTGATATGATCCCGGTTTGGGGAGGGGAAATGAAAATTGGGTTGTGAATGCCCCCAGGGAGTTATTTTGAAAATACAGGGCATTTGGTAGACTGCTTTTGATTTCTCAAAGGTGTAAACACGTGGAAAGAATTGTAGGCTTATTGCCTTCTTACCGTGAAAATTCCATCAGGGGAATACATATTTTAAACAGTCTCTCTCTGTCTCTCTCTCTCTCTGTCTCTCTCTCTCTTTAAAATCTTTCCTCTATACCTTTTCTTTGTGGCATTCAGTCTTCTGTCATGGACCACAGAGCTGTTTGTCAATAGTGCTCCCTAGGGACAAAATGTAATATTGCTTCCACTGCATCCTCTGAGGAGTTGGTAAAACAGACCGTATACTGTTTATCACATTTACCAGTATTGCAGTCATGGTTATGACTCACTTCTTGCCCAAGATTTTCATTTATAAGGAAATCTCTTTTGTTTGGGATGCGTGCTGTGTTTGTGCAGGGCGCTTTGCTAGTCTTAGCCGTTTTCATTAGTCACATGGTTCATTGGCTGACAGTTACTGAGTAGTTTCCCGTGTGCCTTTGAAAATGTCACACCTAGTGACGGTAGTAGCGCTTTGCAGTTGACAGACCCCTTCACTAGTGACTGGTCACTAGTGTCATTTAATCTTTAACAGCTGTTTAAAGCAGATGAAGAAACTGAGAATTGGAGATGTTAATGTCACCTCTGAGGCTACATTATACATAGAGTTGGAATTTCATCTGGTCTCCGGCTTTTTCCCGATGCCTGTAGATATCTATGGTGGAACAGAGACTTTTAAATATTTCTATATATCTTTTAATTTTATATCTTCTTTCTCTCTGGAAGAGTAATTAAACGTGGTCTATGTTCATTCTTCACCCATTTTAATTTTCTTGCCACGAACTTGCAGACCCAGAACATTTTGTGAACTTTGAGAAGTGTCTTTCTTCCATGAATAGCTCAGAAGAGATTTGCCTTCTAACGACATTTGCTCAGATGGCTCAGGCCAGAAGAACCAATGTGGATGAAGACTTCATAAAAATTATTGTTCTGGAGATATATGAGGTTAGAATATTAAGTTTTAGAAATCAGCTAAAAAATGCTTTTTTTTGGATTGTCCATGCGTTGATTCTTTGGGGATTGCTTTAAAAAAAATTTTTTTTTTAACATCTATTTATTATGGAGAGACAGAGACATGGCATGAACATGGAAGGGGCAGAGAGAGAGGGAGACACAGAATCTGAAGCAGGCTCCAGGCTCTGAGCTGTCTGCACAGAGCCTGATGTGGGGCTCAAACTCACCAACCAGGAGATCATGACCTGAGCCTAAGTTGGATGCCTAACCGACTGAGCCACCCAGGCACCCCCTCTTTGGGGATTGCTTTAAAAAAAGTGACTAACTTGTATTGTCTGTACTTATGGAAAGAGAGAATTAAAGGATTATCATTTTGCTCTAAGGAATGTTGAAAATATGAATCATACTCATTCTATTTCCCCCTAGTGTCTCTTGACATCTGATGCATGAGTTTCGGTGAGGAATAGGCAGGCATTCTGGCACAGCCTGACACTTGTGGTTTTAACAGTCTGTTGTCCCTCTGCCCTGGGTCAGTGCCAATTACGCAGAAGCCTGGCTTCCAATCCAATTTAAATGAGATGGTGGAAAGGATACTGATGCTACAGCCAGAAGACCTGGGTTTGTTTGAACTCTGTTAATAATTGCTCATCTCACAGCAGGAAAGACACCTCATCACTCTGGGTTCAGCTGCTTCATCTATACGATGACAGGCTGGGATGAGATCCTTCACTGAGTCATCCCTAATGGAGGAAGAGAGTAGACTTTGGACCCCTGAGTATCTAGAGACAGAACCCAAAGTGGTTATCAAGATTTTTATTAGAGTTTTGTGTATTTTAAAAGATGTGTATTTTCAATTTAGGTTGTCATGTATCTGTTTATCTTCATTAAAAAATATCTCTTCCAAACTATTCGAGTACACTTAAGTAAAATTATGTTTGAAGAAGATTCTCTGAGTTTAACACCTTCTCCGAAGTATCCTGGTTTAAGAATGAATGAACTGGATGATCCAAAGTTCTTTTCCAGGGTCCAGCACTAGGCTATTCCTATACTTACTTGTGAGGTTAAGGTCTAAATGGGTCTGGAATTCCAGACTATTTTCATGGTATGAGAATATCGTGGGTGTGGAGGGAAGGTCTGTTTTCACATATAGTAAGTGGCATTCTTAGGGTCTGTTGTGCTAACCCTAACACTTATGCTCTTGAATGTTTCAAGGGTTTGGCCAGTACTCACAGTAAAAATTACACTGTGTATTACATTCTGCTTTTGTGTGCCTGTGTGTGTGTGTGTGTGTGTATGTGTGAAACTGAAGCAATACTTAATGCTACTGAGATGCACCCTCACAATTTTCTATTCTATTCTGTTATTTTTCTGTTCTATTCCACTGTATTTTTTAAAAAAAGAAATGTGCTTGCCATTGGCATCAGTGGATTGTAACCTGTACTTTGGAATATGTTAAGAGGAGTTGATAAACATTGATATTTTAGAAGCTTTTGTAGTTGGGGATTTTATTTTATAGCAGACAGTAGGTATTTCTATGAAATGCATTCTGGTTTTCATCATTTTGGCAATTTTCTCAAATTTAGAAAGTTTTTACACCAAAGGGATATAGGTACAGACAGGCTTTGGGATTTACTTCCTGAACCTGGTGCTTGAAGTCATTACATAGGTGCCTTTCCCTCTCCTCCTGACTCAGCCTCAGGTAGACAGGTAGCTCTCTGTAGTTGTGACATGTTTTTGAACATGGCATGACCCAAGGCTCAGTGTGAGGCTCTTTCTCTTTTACTTGAAAACATCCTGCATTAAGGAACTGTGTTTTGACTGATGATTGATGGGTATTGAAAGTGCCATCTCCACCTCCTCCCACTTTTAGGTATCTTATGTCACCCTGTCCACCAGAGAGACTTTTTCAAAGGTTGGTCGAGAGCTCTTAGGGGCCATCACAGCTGTTCACCCTGAGATAATTTCTGTCCTTTTGGATAGAGTTCAAGACACCATTGACCAGGTTGGAATGGTAAGAGCACTTAATTTGTTTGTATGTTTTGCTTTTTTTGTTCTGTTATCCTGGAGTAATGGAGCAATGAGAAAAATAATCAGGTTGTTGGGGAATGACTGAGTGACGGGCACAGCAGGATGAAGACAACGTGGAGTGTGTCCTGGGCCCTGCCATTCACCGTGCCTGCTTGGGGTTAGCGGCTTCTTACAAAAAGCTGTGATTCTCTTTAATCTCCTCAAAGTGACTTTCTACCTCCCTCAGTAACAGGTTTTTGTTTTCTTTTTTCTTTTTTCTTGTTTTGAGAGAGGGCTCGCATGCACACATGCACGCACGGGAGAGGGGCAGAGGGAGAGGGAGAGTGAAAATCTTAAAGCAGGCTGCACACTCAGCGTGGAGCCCAATGCAGGGCTCGATCTCATGACCCTGAGATCATGACCTGAACTGAAACCAAGAGTTGGGATGTTTAACCAGTCGACTGAGCCACCCAGACATCCCTCAATAACAGGCTTTTCTTTTAAGTACAGTCTATATAGTTAATAACAGTTTGTATTTCAAAGTTTGTTTGGCTTTCGTAATTTTTATAGTTTATACTTGGAAGAAACAACTATGATTAAGAAAGAAGGCCCTGTTTACATAGGCCAAAAGCGAAAATAAAAGTGGTAATTTAAGTCAAACAAGACACATACAGTTTATTTCTGTCATTTGTCACAATCCCTTTTGTAGTCTGTTGATGTTAAAAACAGCTGGATTGTGACATAACTCACATACCATACAGTTCCCCTGTTTAAAGCATGAAAGTTGGTTTGTTTTTTTTTTCACAGAGTTGTGTAGCCATCACCACTCTCAATTTTAGAACAGTTTGATCACCTCAAAAAGAAACCACATACCCTTTAGCTATCACACTCTGTCCCTCCATCCCCTCCAGCCATAAGCCACCACTAATCTACTTTCTGTCTCTATAAATTTGACTGTTCTGGACGTTTTGTATTAATGGAATCATACAATATGTGGTCTGTGAGTGGCTTCTTTTACTTAGCATAGTTTTTGGGTTCATCCACATTGTAGCATGAGTCAGCACTTCATGACTTTTAATGGCCAAATATTCCATTGTGTGGATGTACCATTTAAAAAATTTTTAAAAAAATATTTATTTATTTTTGAAGGAGAGAGAGACAGAGCATGAGTGGGGGAGGGTCAGAGAGAGAGGGAGACACAGAATCTGAAGCAGGCTCCAGGCTCCAAGCTGTCAGCACAGAGCCCGACATGGGGCTCCAGCTCACAAACTGTGAGATCATGACCTGAGCTGAAGTCGGATGCTCAACTGACTGAGCCACCCAGGCGCCCCTGGATGTACCATTTTAAAAAAACACACACTTACTGAAGATTTTCTTCATCATCTGTAATACTGCTATAATGTGTAAGTTTTGCTAATGGCAGATAGTCCCACATTGTAACTTGAAGAGGAGCATTTAAAGTGATAGTATTTGCAGAGGCCCTTCATCTTGTAGTCATTGCATTGTCCCTGTAGGATGTATCACTGATAACTGTCATTGCTTCATTACATTCATAAGTGGGCAGATTCTGGGGAAAGATTGGTTTATGAGACACATTTTTTCTAAATGAAGAATAAATGATACGCTCTCCTTGGAAAAGTACATCGTACTTTTTTTTACAGTAAAAAATTTAATCGTGGTAAATTATACACGACATAAAATATACCATCTTAACCCTTTTTAAATGTACGGTTCAGTGACATAAGTACATCCCCATTGTTTTGCTTGTTACCATTGCTGTCACCCAGCTACAGAACTCTTTCCATCTTACAGAACTGGAGCTCTATACCTATTAATCAGTAAGCCTGCATTCCCTCCACCCTCCACCCTCCACCCTCCACCCTCCAGTCCCTGGTAACCAACATTCTACCTTCTCTCTGTCTAGAGTTTGGCTACTCTACGTACCTCATGTAAATAATCCACACAGTATTTATCCTTTTGTGATTAGCCTATTTCATTTGACATATTGTGGTCGATGTTCATGCATGTCGTAGCATGTGTCAGAATTTCCTTCTTTTTTAAGCCGGCATAATATTCTAGTGCATGTATAGACCACATTTTGTTTATCTGTTCATCTGTTGCTGGACACTCAGATTGCTTCTCCCTTCTGGCTGTTGTGAATAATGCTGCTGTGAATGTGAGTGTACAGCTGTCTCTTTGAGGCCCTGCTCTCCATTCTTTTGGGTATATACCCAGAAGTAGAGTTGTTGGAACATAGGGTAATTCCATTTTTCATTTTTGAGGCAGCACCATAGTGTTTTCATAGTGGCAGTAGTACTTTTTCTTTTTAATAAAAGCATTGTATCCCACCACGATATGATATGATTTTATTGAGATGAAAGGGCTTTTATATTCAATATACGGGAGCATGTTTTTGGTTACTCCTTTTTGGGTGATTATCTAATGGAATGAGTTCTAAAGAAATACACAGTGGGTCGCAAGATTCTTTCGCTTTGGTTGAGCTCATCACCATTTTCTCTTAAGTGGCTGTCTGGTTTTGGCCACACTTACATTTTACATTTAATTTAATTTAATTTTCCATATGGATGAATTTTATTTCATTTCATTTATTTATTTTTAATATAATTTATTGTCAAGTTGGCTAACATACACCCACTTACATTTTAAATTTGCTCATAATACTTCTAGTAAACTGGCCCAGAGGTATGCTTGACTTTAAGTATAAAAATTGGAAGCCTAATGTTTTTTAGAGCATATCTTCTAAAAGGTGCCTCCATTCTCTGTTTATACCTGTAGTTCCTTAATGCTTTGTGAACTTGCTGACGTTTTTGGAGGAACTTGTTCAAACCTTCTGTGCCTTCAGATAAATACGATGGCTTTGAATATTTTTGCTGTTACCTTGGGATAATCAGGAATTAGAATTAGCCCCAGAGCCTAGGAATGATCTGTGTGCTCTAAACTGTCCTAGTTTTCAAACGTTGAACTGTTATTGCTTTCTGGAATAAAAGCCACTTGATCATCGTGTGTTATTCTTTGTATGTATCGATAGATTTATTTTGGTAATTTTTTTTTTTAATTAAAAATTTTTTTTGGTGTTTATTTACTCTTAAAGGAGAGAGATAGAACATGAGTGGGGGAGGGGCAGAGAGAGAGGAAGACACAGAATCAGAAGCAGGCTCCAAGGCTCTGAGCTGTCAGCACAGAGCCTGATGCGGGGCTTGAACTCACAGACTGCAAGATCATGACCTGAGCCAAAGTTGGACACTTAGCCGACTGAGCCACCCTGGCACCCCAGGAAAGGCACCCCAGGAAAGGCTTCTTTAAAATTCATTCTTTCTACTGTTCTTTCCCATTTTGTTTTGCCTCTCATTGGGAGCAGTGCAGGAACCTGAAAAGTACTAGTATGCATGTTCTAGATCTGTGTTGTCCAATATAGTAGCCACTAGGTACATGCAACTGTAGAGTCCTTGAAAGGTGGCTAGTCCAAATTGAGATGTATTGTAAGTGTAAAGTACTCACTGGGTTTCAAAGATTTAGTGTGAACAAAAAGTATGTAGCGTATCTCAATAGTTTTGTATAGTGATCACATGTTGATAATGTATTGGACATATTAGATTAAATGAAATATATTAATTTCACTTGTTACTTTTAAAATATGTGGCTAGTAGAAAAACTAAAATTATGTATGTGGCTTACATTGTATTTCCATTGGATAGCACTGTTCTAGACAATATAAAATGAATTGCTCTTCTGATTAGTCTCCCTTAAAGCAAACTATTGAGTGACCCCAGATTTATCTTAATTTGCACACATCGATAGGTTATTCAAAAAGTGATGCTATAGACTTCTTGTAAACAGGATTTTAAAAACTTTTTATTATAGAATCTGTCAAATATATATAAAAGGGAGAATAGGAAATGAATCCCTGTGTAACCATCATCTACTTTCAACAGTTACCAACTCTTGGTTAATCTTATTTCATTTTTACCTCTGTTCACTCCTTGTCCCTCCTCCCCAGATTGCTTGGGAGCTAACAGAAATATCTTTTTAGATGCCAGAAAAGAAATAATAATTTTTTTACTGAAGTGTAGTTGACGTGCAATATCATATTCATTTCAAGTGTACAACATAGCGATTTGGCGATGATATACTTTACGAAATGCTTACCACAATAAGTGTAGTTACCATCTGTCACTGTACAAAGTTACTACAGTGTCATTGACTGTAATTACTATACTGTGCTTCTCATCGCTGTGATTTATTTATTTTATAACTGGAAGTTTGTACCAGTTTTATACTTTTAATCTCCTTTACCTTTCTATTCTCCCGTCTATTCTATTTACCCCTACTATTCTCCCCTCTTCTGCTCTGACAACTACCAGTTTTTTGTTTATTTAAATAATTATTTAAAGCGCTAAATCTTTTTGTAAAATGAATGACCGTTCCTCGTTTATTATGGCTTTAAATTTGGGTCTTGGTATGGTGGTTTTATTAAATGGAAGTATACCAAATTATACATAATAAAAGATTGACCTTTACACAGGGTAGCAAAATGTGCTTTTGGTGTATCATTGGTTTTAATATTTGTTTCCTTTGGTTGTCCATGATGTCCATTTCATTTGTCTAAAAATCAAACAAAACCCCACTTCCTTTTGGAAAAAAAATTTTGCAGGCAGTTTAATAATATATTGTAGTAATTCAGGATTGTTCCTTAAGTTTTGATCTTAATTACCATCATTTTCTTTTAAATAAGGTTTCTTTATACTTGTTTAAAGAACTGCCTCTGTACCTCTGGCGACCTTCTGCCTCTGAGATAGCCGTGATTCGGGACTGGTTATTGAATTATAACCTGACAATGGTGAAGAATAAGTTGGCCTGTGTTATTCTAGAAGGACTAAATTGGGGATTTGGTGAACAGGTATGTGTATCAAAACCACTCTCTAGATACTGGAGGTTCTACACATCAATTTTAGAGAAACATTTCCTCAAAACATAAACATTTCTCAGTACTCAGTGATGGTAGTTTTTATTAATCATAGTTTATTAATGTTATTCATAGTTTTTATTATTAAGAGTTTGCTATGTATAATGTCTCTAAAGATGCCATGTCCATGATTTTGACCATTAAAACTTTCCTTCCTCTTTACTCTAGGCCTTACGTGTTAGTTCCTAGGTCAAAATGTTTCAACATTTTAAAGGGAAAATGGGAGAGAACTCAGCCCTCTCTAACAGTCTGCCACCTTTTTTCTGAACAAATCATTTGGTTGTCACAGCCATCTTGTGTGTTTTGCACGAACTTGACCCCGTTGTACAGATGAGAAAACTGGAGCCAGGGAGCTTTTCTTCCAGAGTGTCCCTGACCACCTGGGTCTGCCCATGGGTTCATCCAGGGCTTCCCCCACTCCAAGTGAGAGCTGTAGACCCCTCTTTTCCATCCTCGTGTTCTCTGACTTGTGAATAGAAGCCCCTAGTCCTCCCTCTCCTAGCAGGCTGCATGAACTTCCCTATGAGAGTCTCCATGATCCTTCATTAGAGGATTCATGAGAGGATTAGGGATATATTTCTTTATTTCTTTTTTTTTTTTTAATTAAGTTTATTTATTATTTATTTTTGAGAGAGAGTGCACAAGCCGGGGAGGGGCAAAGAGTGGAGAGAGAGAATCCCAAGCAGGCTCCTTGCTGTCACTGTGGATCCCGACACGGGGCTCCATCTCACAAACTGTGAGGTCATGACCCGAGCCAAAATCAAGAGTTGGATGCTTAAACCAGCTGAGCCACTCAGGTGCCCCAGGAATGTGTTTCTTCAGGTTGCAAAGGAAGATTGGATGGGAAATTCTATAGGCAACTTCAGGCTCCTAAAGGAATATTTTATTTGTGTTGTTGAGTATCTTCTGTATTTTCACTGATGAGAAAATGAGGAAAGGGGATATAGACTTAATTTATTAAGTATCCTTTTGTGTAATAATAAACATCTTCCCGGTTTGTGGCAGTGCCCTTAAACTTGTGACCTATAGTCTTCATGGAGCTTCTAGGGTAGGAGTGGGGGAGTTACATTCAAAGATACCTTTTATATGAGGGTCCGGGATGACTCAGACTATTTAAGTACAACGTAATGGTTCTTTAAGATTTCTGTGTTTTTTCCTGTTGCCATTTTATAACTTCATTGTTAGGTGATGTAATTTTTGGAAAGTTGAGGATCCAAGATGCTTTTTTTACTATCCTTCCTAGTCCTTTTGTTCAAAGGTATGTTAAAAAAATCAAGATGGCATGTTTATGATGATTTTTCTCTTTAAAAGGGTACCCTTCATCTGGATCAAGCAGTCCATGCTGAAGTGGCTTTAATGATTCTTGAAGCGTACCAGAAATACCTTGCACAGAAGCCGTATGCTGGGCTTCTTTCTGAAAGTATGAAGCAGGTATTTCTTTCTCTTATATATTGAGAATATCTTTATTATAAATGATTTGGGTGGATACAGCTACAGTATTTACCCTTAGGTTGCCTAAGAACATTTCTGGCAACTTAAGATACTGAAATTGAATTCTGTGGTTGGATGAAGATTTTTTTCTTTGAGAAGTGGCCTACATGTGACCATTTTAATACTGTGGCATTTGACTTGACCTGGAGCTGGCGTGTCCTGGCTCCGGAGAGCTGAATGTTAAATTTTCGGGAACTTTGCAAACTAGATTGTTGACCTGTTGGTAGCTTGAAACTGACCATGGTGGGAGTTTTCACACTGACAAAATTGACAAACCCTGTAAAGGATCTCCCACACTCCAACTGGTTGTTAAAACTTATTTATCATCACTCCATGAGTTGTGCACCAACTTTTGTATTATTACTCCTTTGCTTGTGCTGACTCAGATCAGATGCACAAAGAGACTAGTGAGTAAGCAGAAGTGGTCAGTTGTGAGAAATTGCTGTAATTGAGTGCTCCAAACTGAGTACTGGTAAGTAGTGTGTCCTCTCTTTTGAGGATGTTGCTGATCACAAAAGCAAATGGGCGGGTGAGCTTACTGATTTAATTTGTATGTGACTAATGTGGTTTAAAATAAATAATTGTTTTAGGTTTCATATTTGGCCAGTATTGTTCGATATGGAGAGACACCTGAGACCTCATTTAACCAGTGGGCCTGGAACTTGATCTTGAGGTTAAAACTGCACAAAAATGATTATGGAATACAGCAGAATTGTCCAACTGTTCCCTTCTCCAGCACTGTGCCTGACATGACAGAGTCACCCACGTTTCATCCTCTCTTGAAGGCTGTTAAGGCGGGCATGCCCATCGGCTGTTATCTGGCCTTAGCTATGACGGCTGTGGGCCACAGGTACAGTGTTTGGGCTGAACCCCTAGGGTTGCTGAACCTTGTAGTCAGTGATTCTGGATTTCATTTTTCACATCCCAAGGTCTGAGGCCTCCATCAAACCTATCTAAGGGCAATCAGGACCAAATTATAAGCCTTATTAATGGCTTATGTAGGGGAAATGCTGCCCAAATTCATATAAGACAGATTTGTACCAGAAAATCATCTCATACATTACGGAGAGAGTATACCTGTCACCCAGAGGACAATGTTCATGTTAGCGCTAGATGTTTTGTCTTCCTTGGAATAGTGACAATATAAAAATAATTAGTCATCTCTACTGAATTTTGTTTAAAGTGATGGCAGTCCAACTTCGGCTTCTCAGTTAGAGGGCTAAACCTGCCCAGGGGAATGAAATGCCTGCTCAGGTCACGTGCTTCTCTGGTATGAGCCTAGAGCGATCTCTGTCTCTTCTACACTGAGTGGTAGTTTTCTGTTCAGTCTTCTCAGGGATCATGTGTGAGGTCCTAACCTCAGGAGCCGTGGTTGTCTTGTGTTACCATTTTATCCCAGTGCTGAAGGCTATAGCTGGTGCAATAAGTAACTGGTGCAGTAAGTAAATGAATGAATTCTTAGTTGGTTAAAAATCCTTTTTTTCCCCCCAGAGACCATTTTCCTACAGTGTGTTAATTTTTTTTAGCCTCTTTTTTTCTAAAATTTCTTTCACCTACATGCTTTCTGGTTCTTTCATTTTAGACTCACTGTAATACCTTTTTACCATTCCAATTTCAACATCTTGTTCCACATTACATATATTTTCAGTAGGATGCCAGTTGTGCTATTAGCTGTTTATGTTCAGCCTTGTGCCAAGAAGTGGGAGAGAGACAGGATTGTTAGTGGCCTTCAGGCTGTTGACAGTTTAGTGGAGATGGTAGATGGAATCAATTGGCAGCACTAAAGACGTGACCGTGGGCTGGATGAGAGGTGTAGAGCAGTGCTTCTCTGTTCTTGCTGCCCTTCAGAGTCACGTTTGGAGTGATTCTAAAGCTCCCTGTGCAGAGAAGAGTGTGAGAGTCCTGATCTAATTAGTCTGGGGCCGTTGTCCAGATTATTCTGATGTACAGCCTGGATTGGGAACCACTCAAGAGTATGAGCAGAAGGAATTTAAAGGAAGGAGAGATCATTAGGGCAGGATGCCTGCATGGAGGAGCTAAGCTTTGGAGAGGAGTCTTAAGTAGAGAAGGCGTCCGAGGCTAGGGGGCAGAGTGGTGACGCTCACCCTTGCCAGGTGACTAGTGCCCACTTGTTGAAGATTCAGCCTTGTACCATCCACTCCCCCGCCCATAGCACCTGTGCGCTCTGAGCAGAGCCCTTACTGTATTGTAGTGTAATCGTCTCTCTCGCTCTTCTCATGCACTGTGTGCTCTTTGAAGGCAGGGGCATCGTCCTTTCATCATTGTATCTCCAGAACTTGAACTAGTATATATTTGATTCAAGCATGAACGTGGGAAGGAGCACCAGGTGTCTGAGTGGGGAGGGGGAAGAGTGAGGAGTGATGAGGAAACGCTCCTGACCGAAGCCCACGCTTCATGGTAGTGAATGGAGGTGATCAAGTAGGTCAGTAGGACTAGTGATGGACAGATTTGAAAGTCAGGTAAAAGAGGGTAGAAGTGATCCACTGGGACGAGGAGAGATCTTAATTAAGCACTTTGGGAGGCACTCTACATCTTTTCCAATAGCCCTCGTATCATTCTCAGGGTCGTGTACCTCAGGCATCTCATCTATAAAATGGGAATAATAATAGTACTGGACTTACTTTATGAGCCTTAAGTGAGTTCTAATTCACTGAACACGTTTAGCATATGTCTGGCGTGTGGATTCAGAGTGTAGTGTTCTGAACTCAATCGTTTCATGATTCTTCTTGTTTCTTCTATTCATTCTGGGACTGTAGTTCCTTTACTCACTGATAAGACTGTGTGTCTTCTCCAAACATAAGTATTTGTTTGGTGCTGATTACCAAATCCTGAATGGAGTGAAGGTGGGAATAAAGAGTTTCTCTTTGGGGCTGAATTCCATCCACCACGGTCGTCTGGGACGTATGCATACTAGAATTAACGATCTTTTGAATGTGCTTAGGGTTGGGTGCAGAGTATGCAGCAGTATAAGTTGTATACGAATATAACATCACAGAATACAGAGAACAGTAGTCAAAGAAATCACCCAGAATCTTTCTCACCCTAATGAAACATTGTTTTGTTTTGTTTTTTGATATCTATTTTTGAGAGAGAGAGTGCATGTGCACAAGTGGGGGGGGGGCAGGGGGGGAAGGCAGAGGATCCAAAGCGGTCTCTGTGCCTACAGCAGTGAGCCTGATGTGGGGCTCAGCTCATGAACCATGAGACTATGAGTTAAGTAAGCTGACGTCAGATGCTCAACTGACTGAGCCACCCAGGCACCCCTGGTATACATTGTTTTTAAATAATGTAATAATATTCGCATTGAATGCATTTTTCCAAAATTTACATAAATCATGTGTGCTTCTGAGTTTGTGATTTTAAACAATTTTGAAAAGCCCATCTTTTACATGGCTCATCTGTCACATGTTCCTCCGCATTTGAGATTATTTCTTAAAGATAGATTTTCTGAAGTGCGTCAAAGAGTAAATTTTTCTGCAAATTGGTTTCAGAAGAACTTTGCCATTTTATACTAACAGAATGAACTCACTTTTGAATCTTCTCTTTGCTCTGCTACCTTGTGGGAATATGCAGACAGTGAGAGCCCCACGGTTCTTAGAAGAAGCACCATTTGGGAAGCAAAGTAGGGTAGTGGCAAAGTGCTGTGGACTGGAAATTTGCAAACCTGGGTTCTCATTTTGGCCCTCCATTAGGAAATTATGTGAATTTGGGCATGATACTTCACCTTTCTCACGTGTAAAATGAGCATATGGATGAAACTTAAGTTCCTTTGTGCTCCAGAGCTCTGATGCTAGTATTCCTGGGCTAAGTTTGGTGGTGCAGAAATGTGCTGGAGACCTGAGATCAACTGGGTAGCAAGTAGGCTGATGGCTCACTGGAAGAACGTCATTTTCTGAGCCGGCTGCCTTGCATGCTCATTGCCTTTGTCTCTTTCCATAGCATTGAGAAGTTCTGTGCAGAAGGCATCCCACTGTTGGGAATTCTGGTCCAGTCGAGGCATTTGCGAACAGTGGTTCATGTCCTGGATAAGATCCTGCCTTTGTTCTACCCTTGCCAGTATTACCTTCTGAAGAATGAGCAGTAAGTAGAAATGGGGAGTACAGATGACTGCTTGCAAGTAAAAGAGGGAATGATATAGTTCACTGGTGTATTTTTTTATGAGGCAGAAAACTTCCTGCCTAGTTTAGAATGCAGTTTGATAAACAGTGACTCTTATAATGATTCTTGTTTTATTATCATGAAAGATATTTCCATTTCTCATTTAATTTTAGATTGCTTATAGCTTATTAGCAGTTGAAAGGGAAGTTTCCATGAAACCTGGGAATAGTGCTTCTGACACTGAGCAGCAAATGGCTTTGCCATTGTAACAGTAGCAGAACACATTGCTGTTAATTGTCTGTAGTATTACAAACAGATAAGATGCATAGGAAGGTGCTTATCACATGAGACATACATAATCTTGTTGAGAAAACAAGACTTTTGAGGTAATTACAAAACTTATGAAGCAAAGTATTATTGGCAAGGCCATGCATGCTGTGGTGTATAGGTTGCATTCGTGTTGTGTGGTAAAAGTATATGGAATTTAGGGTAAAAGAAATAGCTGCTTGGAAGGGAGGGAATTAAGAATTAAGGATGGGGTGTTAAGACTCTTAATTGCACATGATAAAAACCCGGTGCATGCTGGTTTCTTCAAGAAGGGAATGTTTTGGCTCATGTGATTGGGAAAAGGGCTCATGATAACATCAGGTCATTCTAAAGTGGTAGTTCTCAGTCAGGGGTGATTTTGACCCTTGGGACATTTGGTAATGTCTCCAAATGATTTTGGTGGTCACATCCTGGTGGGGAGCGGGAGGCAGTGGATGGTTGGGCAAGGGAGTGGTTGAGGGGGCGACTGGGGGAGTCTGCTACTAGTATCCGGTGGGTAGAGGCCAGGGGTAGTGCTGAACGTCCTGCAGTACATAAGAGAGGTCCTCACAGTAAAGAATTAGCCAGCCTAAAATGTCAGTAGTGCCAAAGTTGAGAGACCCTGGATTAGTGTTTCTGTTTTTCTCTTATCCTCCCTCCCAGGTCCCTTGGCCCCGCCTCTCTTTTTAGTTTTTCCACTGCAGGTGTGCTTTTCTGCAGGGGAATGAAAGTGTGTGGCTGTAAAGAGAACTAAGTACTACCCTGTGGGAAGGGCCAATGTTTTCTGTATCATTGTTCCTTGTAATGATCCCTGATTGGTCTGACCTAGTCATGTGTTCTCTCTCAGCCTGTCACTGTGCTGGGTGGTATTGACTAGTCCTAAGAGGAGGGTATAGGGATTCTGTTTTGAGGGCCCCTTCCTCCCAGAATTGGCAGTTGGTGGGGGGGAGGGTGGACAGCTCCCTTAATGAAAGGATGTGCAGTTAGCAGAAGGGAGAGAGAGAGAGAAAAGATGCTCAGTGAACAAAAGCAACAGATGGCCGAAGCATATGACTTTATGGAAGAAGTGGGTTTCTAGTTGAGTTTTGAAGTGCATGTAGGTGTTGGGCCAGTGGGGAGGACAGGGTGGGCAGGGTGGGGCTTTTTCACTATGGGTAGGGGGTAAAAAGAGGGTCTGGAGGGGCCAGGCTGGGAAATAGTGAAGGCATAGAGAAGGAAAGAGAACTGCCAGTTGGGGAGCAGGGTAGAGAGCACCTGGCTGGGGCTTCGACAAGTGTGAGCACAGGTGAATTCCTTGACTTTGCAGGGCCTCTGTTTCTTCATTTGCATAATGGGCTGTTATACCTCGCATACAGGCTGGGTGTAAGGGTTAAGTGATATAAAGTACAATGGCTGGCACATTTTAGTAAATTGTTTTTAGATTTTTAAAAGATATTTTAAAATTAGATTGAATAGCTTCTGTATTTTTTTCTCTAATCATTAAATTTTGAGTAACGATGACTCTTTCTAGGCTGTGTTTCAAATACTTCCTCTCTGTATCTCTCCCAGGCCCCTCTAATGCCTGCACTGGCTCTGTCCTCTGAACTTGTACAGCACTTCATTGGTACCTTTCCCGCCCTCACTTTTCCTCTTGACTAGGGTTTGGGCCTCAAATGGGCCTGCACTGTGTCTCCTGTGAAATGGGAAGGGTGTTCATTCACCAATAACAACTGCTTATCAATTTGCGCTGTGTGCTGCTGCTGCCTGTACAGCGGGGAGGGAAGCAGGCCGGCCGTTGCCCTCAGACACGTAGGAAGTGATCACGTCCTCAGGATGCAGTTGCCAATTTTAAGGCCCATGGAGGAAAAGAACAGGGTGCCACGAGAGAGGTTAACGGGTCAGCTGTGTTTTAGATGGCAGGAAGGCTCGCAAAGTATCCTCTGAGGAAAGAACATTGTAGATGAGGTGTGGGGAGTGAGTAGAAGTTTGGTAGGTTAGGTGTGGGGGAATGTTTCAGGCGGAAAATCCAGCAGAAGCAGAGAGAGGAGGGAGCTGGAATCCCAGGAACTGAGGGCACTTCCTGACTGATTGTGGTGGGATCCCCCTTGTGCCCCGTTGTGCCCCTTCTACCACCTTGTAGGAAGTTGACTTCCAGTTCAAGATTGTGGGATGATTTTACAAACATCTTGGCATTTGTTAGTGAGTGGGGAGGGGGTAAAGGGGCACTTGGGGTGGTGTTCCTCTAATGCTCTTGAACTTGTACGTGTTTGTGTGTCTTGGGATCTATCTGTTCTCTATACTTCTGCAGGTAGATAGAATTCCTTTTAACCCACCTTAAGTTTGAAAACTTCATTTTTCTGAAGTTCTTAAAGATTTATTGAAAATCCTAAATAGAGCTTTGGCCTAAAAATGGGACCAATTTCATGTTTTTCTGTTTCCTCCTCAGTAATTAGCCACTGGAAATTTTGTTGACTTCTGATTGGAAGGTCAAATGCATTGTCTTGTGTTCTTGGCAGGTTTCTGTCACACCTCCTTCTGTTCCTACACTTGGACAGTGGCGTCCCTCAGGGTGTCACACAGCAGGTCACCCACAAGGTGGCACAGCACCTGACAGGAGCCAGCCATGGGGACAACGTGAAGCTTCTCAACAGCATGATCCAGGTCAGGCCCCCAGGAGGCCCCTAAATACACCCTTGCCCACCCTCCCAATCAAGCACCCTAGGGTTAGCAGATCTGAGTGTTGGTCATTTCAAAGCACTTGGCACAGTGCTTTTGGCCAAGAACATCGCAGATTTGGGCTTTGTAGTGGAGGTAGTCATTTTGCTGGTGTTTTAAAAGTGGGAGCCTGACTCTTACTTCCACATCACTTGAGCGCTTTCTCCGTAGGCCCACGTATCCGTAAGCACCCAGCCCAATGAAGTGGGCCCCGTTGCCGTGTTGGAGTTCTGGGTTCAGGCTCTAATAAGCCAGCATCTTTGGTACCGAGAACAACCCATCCTTTTCCTCATGGACCACTTGTGTAAAACAGCTTTTCAGCTGATGCAGGAAGACTGTGTGCAGAAGTTGCTCTACCAGCAACATAAGGTAAACCTCCTAGAGAATTTGTCTTTCGGTCATTGTCTAGATAGTAGCCTTCCCAGGATGCTCCCCCAAATGCACAGTTCTCAGTACTATTCTGGGGCCACTGCCTTTTTAAGCTTGGTCTTCTTGGTACCTGATCTCAGTAACCACAGTCTGCTAATGCAGATTCCAGGGAAGCTAAAGGAAAGGACCCCCCCCAGGAGGAGCCTTGCTTATGACATTTGGCTGTAATACGCTGCCTGTGGCTCTCACTGCTGGTGGACTAATTATGAAATCTGTGTTTTACCAGAATCTACCATCACAGTAAGATAATTGCTGATATGCTTGAAAAGGTCATTGATAAGGTTTTTTAAAAGCCTTCTCTCTCTGTTCCACATCCTGTCCCCTGTATAGAATGCTTTGGGTTACCACTGTGACCGGAGTCTGCTCTCTTCTTTGGTGAGCTGGATCGTGGCTGGCAACATCACTCCTTCCTTCGTGGAGGGCTTGGCCACGCCTACTCAGGTAGGAAAACCCTTGTGGACCGTTGGTAATCTTTGCGAACTTTTAATGTTCTCATCTTTACTAATGTATTGCTAGCAGCTTTAAATAATGCTCATTTAGCCCTTGGCATGTGTAAGAACCCTCGTTCGTTTAATCCTCGCAGCGGCCCTCTCCTGAGGTTGCGCTGTTGCTGTTCCGTTTCACCGAGGGCTTAACTGAGGTTGAATGGAGCCAAGCAGCTGGCTCAGGATCAGACTGCTGGTGGTCAGTCCTGGTCTGCCCGGCTGTAGAGCCTGCCCGGCAGCACTGTTGAGGGTGGATGCTGGAGCCAGGCCGCCCGGGGTGCACACTCGGTTCTGATGTTTGTTAGCCCTGTGCGTTGGGCAGGGCTTACCTCAATGTCCTCAGCTTCTTCAGCTGGGTGCTGGCAGTACTGAGTGCACCTGCACGGGATGTACTTAGAGCCGGGCTTAGTACGTCACACGGTGCACACGAGGCGTTGGCCGCTCTTGTCAGCGATAGCGGCCGCAGCAGCACTTTTTTCATGATTACCACCTCTTCAACTGTGAGTGTCGAATTATGGCCCTGATCCATCACTTAAACCAGTAGCGACATCCTTCAGCCTCCCATCACAGTCTTCCCTCCCGCTCTTCCTCTTAACTCTCGTGATCCAGCCGAAACACACTCCTTGCTGCTACCTACCGTGTCCCATGTGTTTCCACCTCTTTGCCTTTTCCTCACTGGTCCTCTTGCCAGGCATCCTTCGCCTCCATTCTCCACACAGAGCCGTCTCTGATATGTCCACCTCTGTGATCCCACCCTCCCTCTCTGCTGGCTTCCCGGAGCACTGGACTCCTGATTCAGTACTCACCACCTCTCACTTCACATTGTGATTACTTATATATTAGTTTTGTCTCCTGTATACGAGATGGAAAATTAAAAAAAAAAAATTTTTTTTAACATTTATTTTTATATTTTTGAGAGAGAGAGAGAGAGAGAGAGAGAGAGACAGAGCACGAGTGTGGGAAGAGCAGAGAGAGGGGGAGACATAGAATCCAAAGCAGGCTCCAGGCTCTGAGCTGTGAACACAGAGCCCGATGCAGGGCTTGAACCCACGAACTGTGAGATCATGACCTCAGTTGAAGTCAGACGCTCAAGAGACTGACCCACCCAGGTGCCCCTGAGATGGAAAATTTCTTAAGGGCAGAGCTCATGTCTGGCCGTCTTTCCTGTCCTTGTGCATACAGAACCTGCATGTTGCATGAACAAACATTTTCTTTTACTGAAGTAGCTTTTCCAAAGGAATTCAGCATTTTTCAATGATCTTTTTTATCTAAGTTTATATCTGTGACAAGAACAGAGGTAGGTATAAAACTCTGTTAATTTTGGAAATTATAAATACTTGTTGATTGAGATATCTGGTAGAAAAGATGTTAATTTGTAGACTATCGGGATGTATTTGGTCTGAGTGAGCTGCTCATTAACCTGCTGTCGTTGTAGGTCTGGTTCGCCTGGACAGTACTAAACATGGAATCCATCTTTGAAGAAGACTCCCAGCTCCGAAGGGTCGTTGAAGGGGAATTGGTTATAAACACTGCTTTTACCCCTGACCAAGCTCTGAAGGTGCAAATAGCAGTTCTGCATTTGAGTGGGAGAAGGTGGTTCTCTGATAGATTTATCTATAGCTTTTAAACTTCTCCGTTTTCTTTCGTTGTAAATGTTTAGAAAGCACAGTGTCCAAACCAGTGCTTAAAACTGTATAACTGAAGTGCATCCTTCTTTCCAAGGTTTATTTAGCATGAAGAGCCACATCGTAATGATTGAAGGCTGTGTTTTTGCGTGTGTGGAGGGGATTGCCATTGTTTTATAGCAATTTCCAGTGTGTCTCATGTGCCTTAGTCCCCCAGAGAGCTTGTTAAAAATCAGATTCCTGGATCCAAACTTTCGAGACTCTGAGTTTCTAAGTGTGGAGTGGGACCAGGAATTTGTTTTAAAAACTCCCTAGCTGATCTGTAGGCTCACTGAAGCGAAAGAACACTGGGATAAAGCTTTAGAATGTAAGACCTATTTCAGGGTCTTATAATACAGATTTTGCTTTTGGGTTTCAGAGCCTGTCATGGAGTTAATCATTCTGGAAAGTCCTTTTCAGATCTAAGTTTTTAAGAGATTGATAATGTTTGGCAGTAAAACTGGCTTTTGGTTTTCCTATCATTCTGCTCCCTTCCACTGTGGCGTTTTATGTGCAAAGGCCTGGAGAGGCACAGAAATGAGATAAGACTAGGTGATGTGTAAGACACATTTCAATCTGGGGGCCTGGGAAATGTTTTGATGGAAAAAAAACCCCTGCCCCATATGTTTTGCTACCAAGGAGGTTAAAGTATTAGTTAGTGGGTCGGAAAGGTCAAGGTTCTATGACTTGTTTTACTTACTGAATTGAAAACAAAACGTTCAGTGTTTTCATTTGGATCACTTACAAAGAGCAGACTGTTTGGAACTGCGATCATGTCATGGTTGCTCAAGGGCCCTCCTCTTTTGTAGAAAGCCCAGGCCCAGCTGAAGCTCCCCATCGTCCCGTCCCTCCAGAGGCTGCTGATTTATCGCTGGGCCCACCAGGCCCTTGTCACGCCTTCTGATCACCCTCTTCTGCCTCTCATCTGGCAGAAATTCTTCCTCCTGTATCTTCACCGCCCAGGACCGCAATATGGGTATGGTACCCCGTGTTGTTGTAAGTGTCTGTGAACCTGTTCTTGACTTGGCACTGCTCTGATGCTCTGTGTCCTCCGCCGTGGCCTGTAAGTTAGAACCGTTCTTTGACCTACGACTAGCAGTGTCCCTCTGTCCCCTGTTTCACACTTATTAGACTAGACCATTTTTGAGTTTAGGGTATCTTATGGCAGCTCTTTCTTTGCCATCCCCTGTACCCAATGGGGTGAAGACAGTTCCACATACCTGGAACCAGGCAAGGTGTAGCGTAGAGCCTCTAGAGCTGCAAAGGGAGGGAAACTGCTCCACACAGGCTGCTTGTGTGACTCTTGGGAGCCCGTCCAGGCGGACTGCTGATGGGCATGACAGGTGTGAACAAAGGCCTGGCTGTGCCCGGCAGCCCTTGGGCTGGGAGGTGTCTGCCATTTCCACTGGGTCTGAAGGGACTCTGGTCGGCTGGAACTGTCCACTGTTCCCGACCATATTCTCTGACTCCAGCCCAATTCCTAGCTCACCCTCACTCCCTTAACTCCGTCCATCGGAACATACGGATCTTGGTTTTTGGGCACTTCTGTTTTCTACCAGATTGTAAGTTCTTCTAGAGCAGACTGTCTTTATTCAGTAACCGCTAAGTGGTGGTAATACCTTAAATTTGTGTAGTATTTCATTCTTTTTAAAACTGCTTTCATATATACCGTGTTGTTGGAGCTGCATACTAACCATTGAGGTAGAATAATAGGTATTAATTCAGTGTGGGATATTTATAACCATTGACTTGTTAATTGTGATTTTGTGCCACATAGATCATGTTGTGTTGATCTTGTAATCTATGCTTATATTTTTTAAGGTTACCCATAGATGGTTGTATTGGAAAAAGGTTTTTTCAAAGCCCTGCTCATACCAGTTTGTTGAGAGAAATGAAGAGGCGCCTGACTGAGGTGGCCGATTTCCACCATGCTGCGAGCAAGGCCCTCCGCGTTCCAGCAGAGGGCAGTGAAGGGCCGCCTGCTGGCCAGGCTGGCACCCCTGGTTACCTGACTTCCCCAGAGCTGCACACGGAGCTCGTGAGGTGGGACATGGTTATTTAGCCATTTATGCTGTGGTTTGCAGCACAGGTACTGTGCCAGAACAGTTATCTGTGTTACAGACTGCCGGGTGCTGTTCTCTCGGCCCCGATAGGATGTGGAGGGTGGCAGTGACCAGGTTTGCATCTCGTCATGCTTCCTTTTTAAGTTCTTCATGAGAAGAAAGTCAGCAGTGTGGATCTAGCTCTATCAAGTGCCCGGAGTCTGAATGGAAGGCCTTAAACCAGAGGGCTGATATCCTCTCTGTTTCTCTATGTAATACTAGAAACAAACCAAAACAATTGATCATAGCAGGTAAACACCTAGTAAAGCCTGCTAGGACACTTCTTTAAAGGAAATTCATGAGCAAGGCAGGGTTCTTTAACTGAAGTCCAAACACCTCTAGGAATCTGCCTGGGGTAAGGTAGGATCTAGTAATCACCCAAAATTGCTTCTAAAATCGGGTACAGTATGTGTGTCCCCCCCCCAGACGTTAAGAACTCTGGAGTAAGGTTGGTCCCTTTCACGCTGTTCCTTTACCTTTCATTTATAAGCTTTCTGTAAACCAGGTATTAGTCTTCTAAATAAGACTTAATAAAAATGGCTTCTAATAATTAGCCCTGAATGTAAAATGTCTTGGTGAGGAAGCCCAGGGTTTTGATCCAGCACTGAGGCTTCAGGCTTGCTTGACCTAAAAGCCCTTCGGGCTATCTTTCAGCCTTTGGAATGATTTCTGCCCTCATCTTGCTTGCTTCTTGAAGGAAAACTTACTTTTAGCCAGGCTTACGCCATGGGGAGGCTTAATCTTTGAATGTTTAAATCAGCCAAGAAAGTTTGATGTGCCCTTCCGCCTCTCTTAAATCCCCCTTCCTTTGGCATGTTGGTAAAGTAGCCATCTAGCTGCATCAGAAGCTGGGAGAGAGCTCTGTACTGGCCTCTTGCGTGTGAGAGCCTCAAAGTCCTGTCCCTGCCTCTGTTCCTACGCAGACTGCCTCAGAGGTGAAGGAGGTAGTTTTCCATGTTACCGAGCAAAGCCAAGCCATGCCGCCTCCCAGACCCCACCCAGCAATTTGGGTGCCACAGATTCCTCTAGTACCTGTTGGTGTAAACAACTGCTTAAAATACCGGTGATCTTAGCTCAATGGACTGTGTTCCTTGTAAAAACAAAGGAAACATCATTAAATTTTTTTTAAAGTTTCTACTGGAAAATGGAGATTTTTTTTTTTTCCTTTCTTTTTTTAGCTGGGCTTTGTTCTGTTCCTTCTTAATAGGAGCAAGGTGTACACACGCTTTGAGTCCTCTTTGTGCTTCCTCGAAGCGGGAGAGTGTCATTGAGCCTGAAGCTGGCAGGTTCTTCCATTGTAGTAGTTTAAGATGCCTTTTAATGTCTTCTCTAAAAGATAGAAAATGTGTTTATTTGAATGTTAGTTAACCTTTTCCAACCACTGAGGCTCACCGACTGGATTGCCCAGGAAAGAAAAACTCCAAATTCAGATCCTAGGTCTGTGTTAAAATCACCTTCTCTGGTTATTTTTTCCTGTACGTTGTATTTACCCCTGATTTAATAATAGAGTTCACAGAGCCCTTTCTTTACGGCCTTGTTGTAGCAATTACCGCATGAGATCGTAAGGATTTGTGACCTCCTCCCCTGCTGGCCCGTGAGCTTCTTGGGGGCTGTGGTGGTGGTTGGAAGCATTTTCTGTATTCTGTGCTTTTTACTTTTATGTAGTAGTGACAGTGTTCCTAGACATGTAAGAAACGTCATTTGCCTGCATGTCTTTTTGTATTTTATATAATTACGTTTTTTTTTTCTTTTAGGCTCTTCAATGTATATATATTATGGCTAGAAGATGAGAATTTTCAAAAAGGAGATACCTATATCCCTTCTCTACCAAAGCATTATGATGTTCACAGGCTAGCAAAAGTGATGCAGAACCAGCAGGTGATACTGCAGTACTGTCGCTCTTAGCATATCTGTGATCGAACATGTCACAGTCATAATCTAATGTTAAATCCACTTACTGATATGGAAATGGGTCACTGGCATGTTCAGGAGGTGCAGTTGGGGTACAGCCACTGTGGAGGGCAGAGGATGCCAGATAGGTGAAGAGGGGTTACATTGTTAAAGGCCATGTATGCCTTCCTAAAGAATTTGGATTTGTTCCAAAGTATTTGTTTGGAGAGCCGTTAAAATAGTGTGAGTCATTAGATAAATGGGTGAATTTAAAATATGTTGAAGAAGAATCAGTAGGATCAGGAGGAATTTTAGATTAGATACACAGGTGGGATTGATACTGTCATAGGATTGTTTCGATATAAAGGACAGCCAGACTTCTAGAGTGGGCAACTAGAGATACTGTTTACAAAGATAGAGGATATTGGAAGAGGAGGTGCCACAGGGGCTTCAAGGAGAACGGTGTACTGGGCATTTGGTAGGGAGGGAACGCATAGGTCTAGAACTTTGGAGTGGGGCAGTGTAGGAAATATGTTTTTTTTGTTTGTTTTTTTTACTTAAGTCCACGTTAGGTAGCATATGGTGCAATACTGATTTCAGGAGTAGAATTTAGTGGTTCATCACTTACATATAACACCCAGTGCTCATCCCAACAAGGGCCCTCCTTAATGCCCATCCCCCGTTTAGCCCATCCCCCACTCACCTTCCCTCCAGCAACCTTAGTTTGTTCTTTGTATTTAAGAGTCTCTTACGGTTTGTCCATCTCTGTTTTTCTCTTATTTTTGTTTCCTTTCCCCTATGCCAATCTGTTTTGTTTCTTAAATTCTACATGAGTGAAATCATACGATATTTGTCTTTCTCTGACTGACTTATTTCGCTTAGCCTAGTACACTCCAGTTCCATCCATGTTGTTGTAAATGGCAAGATTTCATTCTTTTTGATCGCTGAGTAATAGTCCATTGTATGTATGTGTATGTGTGTGTATATGTATACATACACACCCCACATCTTCTTTATCCATTCATCAGTCGATGAACATTTGGGCTCTTTCCATACTTTGGCTATTGTTGATAGTGTTGCTATAAACATGTACCCCTTCGAATCAGCACTCCTGTATCCTTTGGATAAATACCAGTAGTGCAATTGCTGGGTTGTAGGGTAGTTCTATTTTTAATTTTTTGAGGAACTTCTATACTGTTTTCCAGAATGGCTGCACCAGTCTGCATTCCCACCAGCAGTGTAAAAGGGTTCCTCTTTCTCGCATCCCCGCCAACATCTGTCGTTACCTGAGCTGTTAATGTTAGCCATTCTGATAGGTGTGAGGTGGTACCTCATTGTGGTTTTGATTTGTATTTCTCTGATGATGACTAATGTTGAGCATCTTTTCATGTGTCTGTTTGCCATCTGGATGTCTTCTTTGGAAAAGTGTCTTTTGCCCATTTCTTCACTGATTGTTTGCTTTCTGGGTGTTGAGTTTGATAAGTTCTGTATAGATTTTGGATACTAACCCTTTATCTGATATGTCATTTACAAATATCTTCTCCCAAGGAAATACGAGTTTAATGGTAGTAGAGCATCTAGATTGAGAGGAGGACTGAATGGAACTAGGGCCCCAAGGCATAGAGAAATAAGGCTGAGAATACAGAGCCAGAGCAGCAGGAAAAATAAATAGGCAGTCATGGACTGAGATCCTTTGAGCGCAGTTCTGTGTTCATCCTCTTTGTCCTCTACACGCCACAGCCTTATCTAAGAATCTGCGTGTAGCGGATGACTGGTCAGTGTTTTTAAAAATATTAGTCATAGTGTCTTGGTTCTCTGATAATTATCTTGGCTCCCCATCATCTACAGAATTAATACCGTTCTCTTTTTTTTAAGTCTTTGCCATTTGATTTTATAGCTCCAATTTTTATCTGTAGTTCATGTTTAGTGTTGTTCTGTCTTTTTGTGGTTTTCTGAGACATCTCTGCTTACCTATCGTTAATTCTCAGTATTCTTAATCATTAGCCTCTGTCAACAGTTACTTAGCACAGAGGCAGACAAGGTGATAGTGACCCCACTGAAAGGAGATGGGTGTGCACAGTAGGAGGGACTGGTACAGCACCTCCAGCAGTTGTCTGGTGCTTCTAGGTTTCAGACTTGTGGTCAAGATGACTTTGGAGTTCCTCTCCTGAGTCTGGAATGCCTCGTGCCATGGTTGGTTTAGAAGTAATGATTTAGGACTTCATGGCAGTGTGCCCATTACAAGCCAGAGATTTGTAGGTTTAGAGGAATCCTTTAAACACTTAAGATCAGAAAGAAAAAAAAATAATCATCCACAAAACCATAGTCCATAGCTGATCACCTTCCTACTACTTGGTACAGTTTTTAGTGATCATGGAGAGCTGACATTTCTTTTCATTAAAGACAGTCTCCCATTCTAATAATATGTATTGATCATCAAAGTGAAGCATGTAGTTCAAAATATGCAAGATAGTTTATTGGAGTGTAGGAAGAGAATACTAAAACTTCAATGTTTTCTCATTTTATTTATTTTACCTTTTATAATAAATTCAATCATACAGAAAAATAGAATAGCGTAGCACACATGCCCTTCTCCCCCTGCCCACTGTGTACCGGGTGTCTAATTTTATCTATAGCCAGTTCACTCCCTTCACCATATTATTTTGGAACTAATTCTAGAAAGCATTTGATACATGAAGATTTCAAAAGATGAGGATTAAAAAACTATTATAACCCAATAGCATTTATATCTGAAAAATATTAAGAGCAGTTTCTTAGTATCAAATACTGAAGTTGTGTTCAAATTTCCAGTTACCTCATAAATGTCATAAAATTTTTATTTTTATTTTTATAGTTGAATCAGGATCCTCATTTTGCAATTGGTTGACAGCTCTTATAAGTCTGTTTGATCTATCACTCCTCCCTTATTCCTTTTTCCCCCTGTAGTTTGTTGAAGAAACTGGATAGTTTGTCCATAGAGTTTCCCCAGAGTCTGGATTTTGCAGATCATTGTAGTATGGTTTAATATGTTTCTCTGTCCCCTGTATTCCTGTAAATTGGTATTGGGACCAAGGGCCCAGATTCTTTCTAATCCAGATAGTTATTTTCAATATATTTGTTACCTATCTCTTTAAAATTTCTGGGTTTTAACTTACTAGCTCAGTAGTATTTGTATACAGTGTATAAATATACAGTTGGTGGGGCCATTAAAATTATTTTTTCTGTTCTTGGTGCATAATCAAACTGCAAAGATTGCTAGTATCCATTTTAGAACATGATCCTTCTTAACACTGGAGAACTTGGTATGGACCACCTCGTGCTGAAACTTTCTGGCCTACCTTTTAGTTAAATATATAATTTTATATGTGAATATATGATTCATCTGTGAAAGTTCAAGTCCTATGTGAATATATGATTCATCTGTGAAAGTTAAAGTCCTGTGCTTCAATTCTAGGATCTGTGGATGGAGTATTTGAACATGGAGCGCATTCGTTATGAGTTCCAGGAGACTGTTGGTCTGTGGACACAGGCCACACTTGAGTCCCATTCGCCGCCCTGCAGTTTGTCAGTGCAGCTGGACTTCACTGATCCTTTGTTGGGTGAGCTGTACCACCATCATCCCCCTTGAGTGAATGAATGAATGAATGAATTGAGGGTTAAGGTTTACACAGTGTATCCCTCCAGTGAGAATTGTTTTTTTAGAAGTTCATTGTTACCTTGTCTGCACCTTAGGGTTAGGTTCAGCAATGAGTGAGAGAAAACTTCAAAACAGTAATGGTTTACATAAGGTGCTTTTTCTCCCATAAAAGAAGTCTGGAGGCAGGCAGTTCAGACAGTAGCTTTAGAGTCATGGCCTAAAATGTTGCTTGAGAGAAACTTGAACAAAGTCAGGAGTCTTTTCCAGTGATTAACATCCGACTTTGTTACTTTCTGTGCAGAGAGTAGTTGTTCTAGTGGAAAAACCCCAGCCATATGGGACGATCCCGTACTTGACCTGTTTGGAATGTTAAATTCCATCTGTTTGGGGTGCAAACAATACAGGTCTTTTTATGCCAACTAAAATCGTGGCTATTAAATTTTCTTTTATTTTTCTTAAGCACAGAAAATGGAATGCTACATCTGGAATGAAGTCGGAAATTCATAGTAGTTCCTTAAGTATTTGTTGACTTGATTTATTGACTTGAAATTTCCTTGACCTCTCCTGTTCCCTATTACCTTACTGTTGAAAAGAGGCAGGTATGTGGCAGCATTTTTCTTCCTGTGCTCAGTCCCCACCTGCTGTATGGTATGTGCATAGTGCAGTGAAGAGAGAGGGTGGGAAGATAGGAATTTATTGATTTATTGGACACCTGTGTGGTCAGCTCTGTACTAGGTGTAGAAATACAAACATTTAGATTGGATTCACCACTATGACCCCATGTGCAATCTAGTGCAAAGTTGGATGGACAGATTTGCCATCACTTTTCTCATATGGCACCTGGTTTCTTATTTGGATTCCATTTATTGAGTGAATGAATAAGTGGATGAGTGAAAGAACGACAATATGACTGTATAATGTAAGTTCTGTAGGAGTTTGTGTCCATGCCTTTGTTCATTTTAACTCGACTGGTCTCAGCCCTCCTGGTCAAACCTTGGCCTAATTTAAGATTTTTCCACTCAGCCATATTCCATAATGCCCGTTTCTTTTTCTCCTCTTCTCTGAAGTTTATCTGGATGATTGCATTAAACTCTTAACAGGACCACCCTCCCCGTCCCCCCGTCCGTTGACTGGTGATGGCTGCCATCTTCGTCAGACTTGCTTAGAGAGTTCGCTAGATCCCCTTTACGCTAGTTTCAAGTCCACACACTTGAGCATGTCGTGCGAGACTGTCTAGGGTAATAATTTAAGATCGTGAGCTTTGACTCTTTAACTCTCAGTAAGGAAGGCTGTTTGAGGCTAGGAGTTGTGTTTAATCATACCACATGCTCGTGAGCTCCCGACTCCTGGTAGAATATTAGTACCCTGGTGGGGGCTCCCTCAAAACTAGCAGGTAACGAAAGATAATGATTTTATTCATTTAGGCCACTGATGGTTTATGTAACTACTCTGTACATCTTCAACATTCTTCTCGAAGGTAACCAGCCAAAGCTTTGCACTCAATTAGTATGTTACTACCTAGTAGTAGCCTCTACTCAGTAAACGCGACTTAATTTTCTTTCAGCTAAAGAAAGGGTTTTAAGCAACTTGCGGAAGCACGAGGCTCCCCAGCCTCCCCTTGATCTGCACCCAGTGAGGCCTCCTGTGCCAGTCATTTCCTCGGCTGTGCTCCTGAGTCAGAAGGACACCACCCAGCTGGTGCGCACAGACCTGAATCTGTTGCAGCAGCAGGCCAGGTGAGACCGTGTGACCTCCAGGGTCATGCCCCTGTGCTTGCTGCTGGGACAGCTTGGATGCTTTAGTACCTTGAAGGGTTTCCACATCAGCGTTCTCTCCATGAGGATGATTTGACCAGGCTGGCCCAGTCAGGTACCTCAGTTAGCCAAGTTGTGACAAGTCCTTCGGTTTCATGTTGAAAGTGTGTGGTGCTTTCACGGACTAGGAATTTTACATTTCCTGTGGTGGCATTTCTGTGGGCCAGCAGTGCCAGCCAAGTGTTTCTTAAGCTCCTCCTGAGGAGACTTTCTGACACTGAAAAGATGGTATTAAAAGGGTAGGCAATGAGATTTATTTTCTTTTGTCACTGCTTTGCTCCCTAACTCTCCATATTCTTTAATAAATTGCCTCAGGGACTTGATTAAAATGCGGGAAAATCATTTAGTGCTCTGAGTTAAAGTAAATACAGAACGATTAACTCTTTGTTTTTTTTAAGTGTTTATTTTTGAGAGGGAGAGAGAGCGTGGGAGGGGCTGAGGGAGAGGGGGACAGAGGATCCCAAACAGGCTCCGCTCTGACCGCCCCATGCGGGGCTCAAACTCATGAACTGCAAGATCATGGCCTGAGTTGAAGTCTGACACTCACCACACAGCCATCCAGGCGCCCCCGGAGCAATCAACTCTTTAAGGTTTTGGTTCCAGCTTGCAGTCTGGCGAGAAGGAGCAGGTGTGGAGTGAATCTGTTTTATGAAGTAGAAGAGTCTAATCTTTGCGAAGACACTGGGAATCGATCTCTTACTGGCTTTTTTTTTCCTTGGCTGCTCTTGGTCCAGGCATTGATTGTGTGCACGTGCATACAAATGTGCACCCCCGCCAGTGTGCGCACACACATGCCTACACAGTAATGTAACCGTATCAACACCCTTGTAAACAGCTTTGTCCATCTTTGACAGTTCAGTTTGAGTTGCTAATGCCAAAGAAATCACTGGTGCTTACAAGCAAGGTACCCTTTAGAATGCTTTAATTAGGATGGATTCTCATTTGCTCTTGTATATTTAAGGGTCCATGTAAAAAACATCGTTAGTGTAATACAGATTCTAAATGAAGCTTCGTTCCTGGCTAAAAAGTTGTCCCACTTTTCCTTCCTTTTTAAAATTTCTTTAAAAAAAAAATTTTTTTTTCAATGTTTATTTTTGAGAGAGAGACAGACAGACAGAGGGTGAGTAGGGAAGGGGCAGAGAGAGAGGGAATCACAGAATCCGAAGCAGGCTTCAGGCTCTGAGCTGTCAGCACAGAGCCCGACTCAGGGCTCTAACCCATGAACCGTGAGATCGTAACCTGGGCTGAAGTGGGACGCCCAACCGATTGAGCCACCCAGGCGCCCCTAAAATTTTTTGTTAAGAAAAAGAGAGGATTTGGGTAAGGCTGGGCACACACCTTTGGTCTTTTGTTACTATAGGATACTTGGTCTTGATGCTCTCTGATGCAGGCTGGGGGGAACTGGAAGCCTTTATCACCTACCGTGAAACCTTTCCGAAGCCTTTCTTCTACTTCCTGATGATGTTTTTCAGAACTGCAGCTCTTCGAGAATCTCAGCAGGTTGCCCTGGATAGTGAGCTGTTGGACACAATGCCCAAGCAGTATGTTAATAGAGAAGAACAGACCACACTACATTTGGAGTGTAGAGGCAGTAGTGGTAAGAAATGCCAAGGAGCAGCAGTTGTAACAGTTCAGGTAAGATTGCTTAAGCTTCTTCTTAATTTAGAGAATTTTTAATTGAGTCCGTAATAGTGGCATATTGTTGAGAGAGACTGAAAGAAGTTTGTAGCACATGATTCACATCCTGAAACACTTAATACATTTGGGGGGTGAGGACCCACACAGAGCTGATCATGTATTTCCGTAAGTGCTCGTGTGTCCGACAAGGACAGAAATTCAAAGAAAAGCATAATCACTGAGAAGATCCTTAGAGGGTTTTAAATTGATCTTCAAAAGACTTTGATGATGATGGTTTGGATTCTGTTAGAAGGAATGTGGGAATGGAGTCCTCTGGACAACCATTTAGGGGTCAGTGGCTAGGTCAGCCTACTTCAGATTGTTTTTGGGTGTGGTGGTGGGAATTCACATTGGAAAGGATGATCACTTGGGAGCTCCAACTGTGTGCTGTGGTCGGTGGGGAGCCACTGAAGACAAATGTGGGGGGGACGTGTGGAAAGCAGGTCAGTTGGACGGAGCCTGCCAACAGGCAAAGGAGAGACGTGCAACTCCGAGATTAGGAATTCAGCTGCCTCTTAGTGTCACCTTCTTGCACTGGAAAAACAGGCTTAATTAAGTTGGGTCTGTGACATTGAAAGGACTTCAGAATGGAGTTTAACTTTAGCCAGCACATCGTAGCACTTGCTTTATGCCTGACTCTGTGTAAACACTCTACAGAACTTATCCTCATGGCATCTCTGTGAGGTGGGAATTCCGGTTATCTTGTTCCCAGACGGGGAAGTAAAGGCATAGAAAGGTTAAGTTTCGTACCCAGAGTGACACAGCCACTGGGTGACAGAACCAGGGAGACCCGGGCAGGCTGGCTGCAGAACACAAGCTCCTTACACGCTGCACCCTAGTCCTTCTTCGAGGGACTTCGGGTCCCCAGAGCTGGGGAGGAAATGCTCAGAGGTTGGCTACTGCATTTGCACAAACATAGCTCCTCTTTTTTTGTTAGCTTTTAGAAATCAGGGAAAACTTGTTTTACTGACTCTTGGTTGTCTTTCATAAATTTCTTTTTGTGCTTCCTCATTTGAGCAGTTTTGATGTATTCTTCATCAGTCTCCTTGGGAGCCTGTTTTCTCTAAAATGTCTTCTCTGAAATAACTTATACACTTGTCTTTTTCATTACCTTCGTAATTTGTTTTTGATAAAATAACATATTTGTATGCATCTAAAGTTAAGAAATTTGACATGGGATGTGAGACTCCCAAACACTGAGAGAACATCTTTGGCCAGGTGTTTTATAAAGTTAATTTTCTTTCAGTGTACTTTTCCCCCAGTTACTAATGTTTTAGTAACACTAGGTGGGAGCATTTAAGAAGGATCACTTGCTAAAATAATGGAGCTTGGAGATAAGTCTGCTGATTTAGGACCGAATTTGATTTAGTGAAAAAAAAAAAAAAAAAAAAAAAAAAAAAAAAAAGAAATGTATCAAGTTCTAATTAAAAAGGGTGTCTTACTACCAATCTGTGCCTTCAGAAGTATGGTATTTTTCCGTATTTTGGAATTACACATCTTTGCCAGGCTGTTAATACTGTACAGAGAAGGGAATTCTCCTAAGATGCATTTTATTAAGTGACTTGGTAAGATAAGTACAAAAATGTTTTTTCAGTTCTGGCTAATAGCTTGCTCTGTGAAGAGTCATGAATACTTACTGCCCAGCCAAAAACCAGTTCTCTTTGCCTGACCGCCTGTTAACTCTCAGGGTCTTGTTGTGGTGGGCAATACCACCGGGCTGACTTGGGAGCTTCAGCTCCCAGCCTGTCAGTGACCTGGCTTTTTCCTTTTCAAAAAAGTCATCATAATCTTGATTTGTCTTAACTCTTGAATTGAAATTTCTTTTATAAGCTTTTGCTTTGTTAATTCTGAAATAGAAAGGTATACTTTTCCTGAAATACCTTCTAAGTAATTCTGATAAGACAGAGATTGGAAAGCAGATGATTTAGGATAAGGACTCAAATGAATGTGGCTTAGATTTTATTTTTACAGACAACACAAAAAATATTTATGCTTTATTTTCTCAAAAGAAAAATTGGTAAATGCAAAGATTGCTTGAAGAAAAAAGAAAAAAAAAGGACAGAGAAGAAAAGGAGATTTTATAGAGACCTAAAGAATTTGAAAAAATAGCTGTGTTTTATGGCCATAATCTCTTTAGAAATATCTAAATTTTCTTAAAAAGCACATTCTAATTTTCTGCTGGCCTTACTAGTTTGCCCAGCACCCTGACTTTCAGTTCTGTTTGGGAAGATCTAGAAACTGGGAAACTCCCACTGATGGCTCCTATCAATATTGACAACAGTATTTACTTCAGCCGTTAATTTTGCCTGATGATGCAGATGTGACAGAGGAATTGAAAATGTGAAGATGGCAGCTTTTGTAGTCTGATTTATTTTTTATTATTTTATTTTTCTTATTT